GATATAAGAATTAAAGCATCCTCAGTTAAACTTGTATCGGAACCAGCATATGCTATACTCAAACTTCGTAATCCGATTACGCCACTAATTAATGCTTCCAGTGTTTCATTCGTTAACAGTGGGTTATAATTAAGTCTAATAAAAAATCAAATAAAAATTTTTAAATGACTATTAAGTTACTACTGAGAAACGAAAAATTTCTGACATAAATCTCTTTTTCAGCTTTTTTATTAAATAAAAATCTAAATGCTAAGTGGATTAAATGATTTTATATGAAATGACTTACGATAATTCAGTGAGATATTCAAGCCTGGTGAGAGTCATGAGACCAGTTGTTGTGAGAGAATCAAAGCAACTACCGGAAAGCGAAAATGAATGTAATTCGATCATATTCCTAGTTATCAAACTAAAAATGAAAATCAAAAGAGATACTGATGATGCTCAAAAAATATGGTATAAAAATACAAAAAACGAAAAAATATTGAGCAGAATTAATAAATTATAAATATAATTTATTAATAAATATTAATAAATTAATATGGTAAATGTTTTCAAAAGTTTTGACACATAAAAAAAATTAAGACAATGAGACCTGACGCTTTCATCATTGATTTGAGAACATCCACTTAGATGTAATTCCTTAACATTTGGTGAATGAATGCAAAGTTCCTCGATAGATTCATTATTAATGCGACAACAACCATCAAATAAAACCTAGAAATTGATTACGCAAATGATGAAAATAACAACTGTGCAGGAAGCACTGAAAACTTCTCTAATTAATTTCTTCATATAGCATCCACTACTCCTGATTTAGAATATCTAGCTGAATATCTAAAATAATAGCTGACTACTTTCATTCTATTTTTATTTTTATAATTTCATTCTCTGATAAGAAAGAGATAGAGGATGGAATTATCGATAAGCCCTCAGCATCCACTTTTACATTCACTTTTAATAACAAATGTATTCCAAAAATTCCATAATGTCAAGTTAAGGATAAGTTTAAACAAATAGTATCATCAGGGTGGATTTGATTGATTAAATCGCGAAAAAAATTATCTAGAAAAAAATTATCTATTTTTCTAGAATGAACGAAGAATTGTATGAAAATCCACTAATCAGCACAAAGTGATTTAATCGAATAAATACCGTTTCCAAATTTTCACCAAAAAGGCTGAGAAAATAGCCTTTTATTCGACGACAGCCTCGTAAATCGATAGAAACTATATTAGCACCATTTACACGAAAAAGATACCACAATGATTTATCAGTAACATTTACCATATCTTTGTAAATTAACGATTCCAATTTCGGAAGAGATTCACCAACAGTGCGCAAAGCGCGCCAATGGGCTCTAATACCAGAAATATTCAGCTGAAAATGGTAAATAATATTACATAATATTACAATCAACTTCTGATTTTGAAAAGTTCGGAATCAATTAACGTGAATTAACAGAAAAAAGTTAAGAAATACCTCGATAAGATTGGGACAAAAGGATGCCACAATTTCTAGAGCTGAATTATCAAGCAAGTTAACAACTCCGGATAAATCCAGCTTTTTCAGATGAATTCCGCAACGCAAAAGACAGGACTGAAAAAAGATTAAAAAGGATTAGTAAAAATTTGTAAATTTCAAATATCAAAGAATAAATTCAATACTGGCACATGGAACCAACAAACTGTACCTTCAGAACGCTATTTCTGAGTGGATTTGATCGATTAAATCTGCGACTGGTACAGAAATCACTGGAAAATGACAACGAATCATTCAAAGCCCACGACTAAAAAAATAATTCAGTAATCAAAAGTAAAAATAATTTATTAATTTATTTTTACTTTTAATAAATTTTAACAGCAAAATTCGAGAAATTGAATAAAATACTATACTAATTAGCAATTAAATAAGCTAACCCTGATAGATGATTCCAAAAAAGCTTTGCTAACTCGCTCAAGTCGGATTCGTTCGTCCGGTGGAAGAAATTTAAAAATATGCTCTAAGGCTTTTGCTGGCAAAATTTCCATGGATATTTGTGAGCCAAACTGGAAGAAAATAAAGCAAAAAACAAAAATATTCGCTAATGATAAACATTTTTGGAAATTCAATCTCACCAAATCAGCGACCGGTGAAAACGGGGTTAAAGAAGTAGATAAATAAAGCGAACTTTGCGAAGGACACTCTTCATCAACCGATGGACCTAAGAAACGCAAAATAATCGAAAAAAGGTTGAAAATTTTTTAAATATAATAATTTTTTAAAAGGATTAAAATTTAAATAAATTTTAAATTTTTAAAATTTTTTTAAATTTTTTTAAATTTTTTAATCCAAATAGTTTGCATTTACATAAAAAGAATCTTAAAATAAATAAAATATAACTTTTTAAATTAATCTTAAATTTTTTGAAAAGAAATTATGGAATTAACCTAAAATTCTTAAGGATGAATGTGAACTTGAACAAAGCAAACTGCATGTCAGAGTAAACCTTGGAAATAGACTAGGATAGCTAAAACCAAGCAAAAGAAAAACTCAGAAGCTTTGTGAAGAATTTCAGACAGCCGTCAAAAATCAGAAGTGACAAGTAATAATATTACAACAATATCTGTAATTATAACAAAGACGGATCCGAATATGGAAAAACAAGGATTCTTCATTCAATTCATTCAGTTCTGAAGGATGTTCTAATCTCAAATTGGTAGGGTAAAAACAGTGGATGGATGGAGAATATCGTGGACAGTTAAGAAAATAAACCGGAGGATAACAGAAATCAAGCCAGATTTCACATATGATCAAGCTCAGATGCAAAGATCCAGCTCTATCGCTGGGAATGCTGTAATAAAAAAGAAAAAAGGAAAACCTAAAGAAGGAAAAAATCTAAAAGAAAAGAAGAGGACAGAAAGACGATAAAAGCGTTATAATTTGAAGAATAAGGATAGGGACAGCTTGGAGATCATCTATCTACTTGGTCGTTAAAAGTCGGAAATGAGTTGAAAACCATAATGAATCAATCAAATTCTTAAATGTTCATTCAAAAAATAAAAAAATAACCTCTTAATGGAATTATAGACTCTTTCGATGCCATACTTGAGGTCCTTTTCTTAGAGCTAGTATACTAAAATACTAATGGATTTCGAGATAAAAATATAAAGCAAAATATGAAATAAATATCAAATAATGACAAACTTTACTTATTTCCGATACATGCCACCCAGCCCTAACTACTTTAACGTTTTAAGTAAATAAAGAGATACATGGAAAATCTGCGGTAGAAGAAAAAATTATAAAAACATAAAAGCTATTTGAAAAAGGCTACCGGAGAGACAACCATTATCATATTGTAGAACTTTAAATCATCTGGAGTAGCAGTTCGCGCTTTATCAGCTCCTTCTCTTTTTCTTAAATGTTTAGCCTTTATTATCAAAAAGTCAAAAAAAATAAATAAGCAAAAAATTTTTTTTGATTATTTAAAAACTGTCGCGTTATGAAAAAAGATTTACATTGATAGCAAAAATATTGCAGCAAAAAGATCCATTATTATTTTTAAAATCAAACTTAAAAGTGATATGTGCGACAAGAGGATTGCGATTTGTTCTCGGAAGAGTAGCAAAATTCGAATGACGTCTTTCTTCCGATGGAATATAGCATACAGAAATCTGAAATGTTTCACTGTCATGAAATTTTTTATAAAATCTAACTTGAAACCAAATTATAAACTGTTCAATAAATCTAATAATTTTATTAATCAAAGCAATTCTTAATGAAATAACAAGTTCAGAAAAAAAGCAAAATTTACGATGGTTCTCGAATTAACAAATCGATGTTAAAAAATAATTCAATGCGTTTAATTGAATAGTTAAAAAAAAAGTACGGCGATTTACCTTTCCGAACTTCGAAAAAAATGATATTAATTGGTTTGTGGTGACACGGGGTGATATATTAGTTACAATAATTTTTTTCTCTTCAGCTTTTATTCGCATTCCTGCTGAATGTACATCTCCAATGTAAGATTTGTCACATTTTAGCGAATCTTCGCTATACTGCGATGATAAACTTTCACTGTGCTGTCCATAACCTTGTTGAGCAATTAATGAATCGCCAAAAGCTGAAGAATATCATGTTATCAGAGAAATTAAAGAATAAAATTAGTAAATATTGTGAACGATTATTCTCAGATTTCATAATATATATATATATATATAGATATATTTTTTTACTTTTGTATTTATATTTGAAAGATTTTTATTTAAATAAGAAATTATTTATAAAGAAAAATAACACGACATTAAAGGATAAAATAAACAGAATAAAATACGATCAACATACGATCATATTGGTCTAAATTTTGCCCATCGCAAATTAACATTGGGAGTAAACGGCGATATTTTATAAATTCGACGGCTGAATGTGACCATGTTCTTCTAGAAAACGAATTATCAGAAATTTTTCAAAATCCGTTCTTCCATACTAATAAATAAATCAAAAATTAAGCAAAATTTACTAAACTTGAACCAATTTTCTTGGCCAGTTTTATAAAATTACAAAAATCTATCGATAAATATTTGTTGCCAAAAAAGTACAAATAAATCGTTTTATTTATTTTTGTTATTTATAATAAATAGAAAAATTTTGCCCAAATTAAGAATAATAGAAATAAAATAATTAAAGAGCAGGAGATGCCTAAATAAAACCTGAGGCGACCAATACTAAAAAATCTCGCACGAGTAACAAAATTTTGGAATGCATCAGAAAGATCGTTCAATCCTTGATTTTCTAAATTGTGGCCATGAAGACGTCGAAGTGCGTTAAACATTGCCTAAAAAATTCAATTCTTTGGTCGAGACTGGCAATCATTGGCTAAAGGAAAGAGAAATTACCTTTTCGTTGTCAAGTCTTTTTCTTCTTTTCTGTTCTTTATTTGTTCTTTATTTCCCTAATATCTAATATCTAACTCATGGTCTTTCCCACATGTCCAAAGAAACAATAAAATGATTGGCAAAAAATGCGAAATTATGAGGAAAATCTACGAGGTTGGATTGAAAGAAACGTGGTTACTGCTGAATTTAAAAGAAAAAAGCATTAAGGAATCTTATATTATGTTGTTGTATGAAGCATGATGCAATTAGGTGGTAACCATTTCACTGGTACTAATAGCAATAATAGTACTAATAGCAATAATCGTTACACTGGTGCTAATAGGATGAAGAACAGTAGGATGAAGAAATCTTGCCAGGGGAAAAACATCCCTTGAAATAGAAAGGAAGATGGCTGCAAATTTTAAATGGTACGTTTGCTTCTGTGCAAAGCAGGTGGCGAATCTTGAAATGACTAAGCATCTCGGTTGTTATGTCCCACAGATTATGTTGGCATAAGCAGATTATCTTAATGATCGATGGAATAATGCTGTAAGGACCAACAAAAACGAACCAACTAACTTAATAAAAACAAAACTAACTGCAGGTTGAGAGAAATCATGCGAAGTTCCATACAAATCCATGACCGCAAATTAAAAGTATTTTGGACGAGTTGCTGAAATGAAGATGATGTGAAAAACATTAGTATGAGTAGAAATTTACGACTCGCTTACGAGAAGAATCTGTAAATTAATCGCCAATTATCACAAATAAAATGCGCAATTGACCGGCTCGCAATTGACTAACGCCGTGAATAAATTGACAACCAAAAATTACATTATAACAACTGAAAAATCTGGCGAATTGCATCGAAAGTCGAAATCAAATCAATCAAAAAATGATCAATGATGAAAAGCCTTCCACTTCGCGCGATTAAAACCCCACCAAGTACCACGAACAAACAATCGCAATACTCCTTCTTCCTTCAACAAAACATTCAATGAATCCAAAAAGTCAGCTGGAGATGGAGGGAACCGATCGATATAGTTTCGTACGAAGATTTATTGGCTTAAGAAAAACTGGCTGGCTTCGCCGTTGGCGGACCCAAGAAATATGGAAAATGCGGCTTATTTTCTTCGACTCAACGTTCATCCTTCATTTATTTCATCCTTTTCTTCAAAACGATAAAAAATTAGAGCGATCCTCTCCTTGTTATTTTAAATTTGGTTGGACTGCTATTTTCTGGCCAGAAAGTCGATTTTGGAATAGCAAATGGAAGTAAGACGGGTAGAAGGGGACAGGCGGCTCCCTCGCGATCTCCCAGTTTCACCTCTAACGGCAGTCTTACTCGCGTCGACGGTCATCTCTCCGCATTTTCACACGCTTTCTTCATTTTCCAGTATTATTGCTTTATGTAAAAACAATTGTTTGGCAGTTTACACCAAAAGAATTAAAAAATTGTATGGAAATATCAAAAAGAAAACGAATCAGCTGATATCCGCCAAAATTATTTTGCAAAAAATGAACGAGAAAAGAATAATAAATAGGGAATAATAACTTTTCAAAAAAAATTGACATTTCTGAGAAAATTAATTTAGCAATTTAATAAATAAATAAAAAATACATTTTGCAATCGGTCGTTTCATTTTTTTCTTCCAAAATGTTGTAATTAGTAATTTTAATTAATTAAAATTTTTTCGCTTTTTCAATGAATCAATTTTGAAGTAATGAATGAGTTTTATCGGAATTTTTTGAGAATTACTGCAAAAATGAGATTCGAATTGTTTTGGAAATTTACAGTTTGCACTGTTTGTAAATATGCCTACAAATTTTGTGATAAACAAGCATCGTTTTTTAAGATTCGCTTCTCGCGAAATTGGATGGTGAAAGTCGTTTGACCTTGAATGACCTTAATTCTCCTTTAACTCCTTTTTGAATAATGTCATGAAGGAATTCGTTTTCAATACTTTATGTTTAAGGCTAAAAAAATTGATAAAAATTGATTGATATTTTGCAGACAAATAATGAAAAGCAAAAAGCTTTCTGATAAACTTTCTTTAATAAATATTGGTTAATTACAAAATAGCAACAAAAATTTATAATTTTTAAAATATATTAAAAATTTATTTGTCTAAGTAATGTGGTACTTCACCCGAGTGGGGCATATTTCACTCGTAAATCGGAATCAAAGATAGGGTTCGCGAAACCTTGGCTGAAGTGAGTGGCATCTTCATTGAAGATTTCAGTTAAGAGGGACTGACGGAAGATCTAAACGATGCAAGCATTATCATCGTGAATCCAAAGAATCATTACCAGCATTAAAGCCAACACTAATAGTTCCAATTACGAAAATATGCTATTTATATTTAGTATAGCTGGTTAAATGAATTTGAAAAGAAGCCTTTTAGCCTTTGCAAACTATTATTTATAATTTAGAAATAAACACAGCAATTGAACCAATGCGAAGGAAAACAGCTGCTCAGGCAAAATTTTCGAAGAAAAGTTCTCTTCCACTTGCGAGTCGATACAACAAGGAAAATAAAAGAAGTACACGAATGAAGCATTGTTTGAAGCAAAAGATAACGTTTCCTTATGTGACATCTCGAGCAGAATTTTAAATAGCCATAATGTGGTATTTTCAGTTGTTGAAGGAGAAGAAGGCAGTTCAGCTCTAGAAAGCGACGTTTCCCAAAGTAGCTCATCTAGCGCTCAACAAAATACTCAATCTATAGGCGAACGGCGATTAACAACGAGTTATCCTGCTTTTATGCATATTGGGTCTAAAAACAGTCCAGACAGCGATTCCAACAACCGTTCAAAAATGGATTATCTTGGAAAACAAACTGTGGATGAACTTCGAACATACAAAGAACATGGAAAAATTCGATCGCATTGTAGCACTTCGGCCAGAAGGCAAGCCAAGGAAAGCAGAAAACGAAGTTATTATAAGAATATTGCAAAAGAAATAAAAAAATATCGAAAATTGACAAATTGCTTGATTCCGAAGAATTCGTTTAAGCAGTTAGTGCAAGAAATACTTCGAGGTTATCAGAAAGGCAATAACTTCCGCTTCCAGAAAGATGCAGTGAGCGCACTTCAACAGGTAAATTTTTTTGCAAAATTGGAATAATGAACAATTAGGAATTAGACTGGTGAAACGAGCAGAGCACAAACTTATATAGAAAATTAAGTTGAATAAAGAAAAATTTTGACGTTTTTTGTCGTTGGGCTTGGTTCATTAATAAATAGTCAGAATTGAGGCCAGTTAATCAAAAAGTGGCCAGCCATTTTTGATTGGGCTCGTTGAACTTGCTCTTTCCAAATGAGTCATTTTCGCTAGAAAAACATTCGCGAATAAAAGTTGCACCATTAGGGTTTTTATTCTCGCTAAGACCGTACGATACGTATTGGATTACACCGCCACTTATAAGCATAAGCATATAAGTGAATGGATTCACACAGAACTAATTCTGCGTGCAAATTTCAGCCGAATTTTTGTTTAGGAAAGTGAAGCACTCTTGGTCCGATTATTTGAAAATTCTGCAATATTGGCAGAGGCAAATAATCGAGTAACTGTCTTTCCAAGAGATATGCAATTGTGCCGAAGGATTAACGAAGGTAACCTTTATTTTCGAACTATAATCTTGTTTAAATGGATGAATTCCATCCATCGACTTTTTTTCCTCCATAATGGCTAAAAGCAACAAATTTTCTCCGATGGTATGGAAAAACTTTATGTGAAACCAAACACCATAGGCAACTTAATTTAAAAGTATAATTCTTTCCCCTCTTTTTTCCACACAATTTTTTCCATTTTTTGAAAAATAAATAAATTCTATGTGGCTATTTTTTAATTAATAATTTTAAATTAACAAATTCTTGAAAGCAAAGGTTTGACATATCAATTATTATAGTTAGTGATTAATTATTTCTGGTTAGATTTACTCCACTGGCTATTAGTATGGTGCATCAAAAAGTCACTTATGGGTAGAAGTGCGATGAGACCTCAGCTATCAGATGAGCACGTTATTCAGGTTCATGTCCGCCGCAGATAGAGGCTAACTCATGGTACTAAACGATAAGCAACATCCCATGCTGTCCTCTGACCAATCATTATTCACTAATCTATCAGTATTTTAGATTGCTGAGAGAAAAAAAAGAACAGATTTCCAAACTAGAAATAGAACTACAAAGTAATCTTCCATTTTCATAAAATATTTGTTTCGACTGATCGGTCTAACTATCGTTCCTAGACGAGAAAAATCGTTTCAACTTTATAAACTGATTATATATACTCAGAAAATAAGAAAATTTTGAGAGGGATATTCATTAACATATATTTTTTTTATTTATTACAACAAAATGGATAAATTCTATCCGATTTATCCGTAAAGTTGAGAACTCTTGTGATTTTTTAAAATGATTTCTTATTTTTTTCTTTTTTTCGCTAACTTTTGTAAAATTCTGCTTTTTAATTTCTGTTGTCAGTGATATCAGTGATAATAATGCTTATGTCACTATTGATGAAATGTAAAAAAAATAACTTTATCCAGTTTAACTGCCAAATAGTGATTTTGGCTGGCCTTTAGTCCGTGTGTTCATATAAATCAAGCGAACTAAAAATATGCAAGAATTAAAAAAAGAATTATGGTTATGGTTGCAAAAGGCTGCCAATTTTTTCAAATTTTTATTATGCTCTTCATTAGAAAAAGTTCCATAAATTGAGATAAGGCAATAATTAAAGATGAAAAATAGAAATAGAGCGAGGTGGTTGAGTGATGTGTTATTAAGCTTAAGCATCATAGATCCCATTCTTGTTCCTTGATTACGCGAGATCTGTAAAGCGAAATATTGGTGCTTAATTTCTTAGGTGATTGATTCTCTGGCCAAAGAGCCTGATGCTGGTAGTTATCAAAGGTAGGAAAACCTGAAACGGTGAGTGAAAGAAAGGCAAATAAGAAAGTATTTAACAATATTATCCCTAAGTAACAGTTTATATAAGAAAAATTATAAATAGATTTTTATCCGATAATTTTGAAGATTTTTGTCTTTTCGTCAGAAGCGTCTTAGAAATTGCAATGGAATATAAGTGTTTCGGTCAAAAATGTCAATAATAAAATATATTCGTCAACCAAATAAATTCATTTGGCCAAGTTTCATTCCATTTGCGTGCACTAGAAAAATTAAAACGCTGGAAGATATCATTATTACGAGTTCACAATAGCAATTTTTCACATCTTCTATGCGAAGTTCGGATTTTCTTATTGCAACTTCGATGAGCAATGCTAACTAAAAACTTTAGGGTTCGTTGAAATATCAAATATTATTCTATAAAATTGGCTGATTAATTTTCGTTTCTCCAGTCATTTTTGATATGAGGTGGCGAATCGAATCGTGGAAATCGAGTATAACTCTCAAAAACAAAATTATTTTAAAAACATTTTTGTTTTTAAATATTTTTAAACAAATAACTAGCAAATTGAACATATCAAAAATAGCACATGTTCTTACAGGAAGGAACCACTCACTCTGACTTATCATTATGATAATAACCTTAAAATCACTGAAACAGTGATTTCTAAAGCGGAGTACAGAAGCGGAGTACAAAAAAGCCTTTTACAAAGATCGCAATAAGGCCTTATCACTAATCACAATATAATTATTAGGCACACAGATCATTTGTGGTCATCTTCAAGATGTATAAGAAAGTACAATATCATGGATATCACTGGAGTAAATTTTCTTAATCGAAGCTTATGCGAATTATTTAAGTTGACACTTGAATCCGCACCTATTGCGCTTACTCTCGTTTCGCCCTTAATTTTTCTCCCTGTTCATCATTTATGCACATTGCATCTCATTTAACTAAAGAGCATTTCTCGGAAGTACCAGGCCATTTCTTATAATCCAGTGCTATTTAATTGGGCACATCGGAATTCTCAGTTTGCCTTGCTAATGCTGGCATGTTTTCAGAAATATGTGGATAAATAAAGATAAATGACCTTTTCATTTCGAGAATTTTCTTAAAATGTTACCAAATTTCCTTAGTTCAGACTTTACATGAACTTGTCAAATTAGCCTTAACACGTCTGTGCCTTATCTTCCTCCTTCTTTACCACAAATTCACACTCTTCGTTAGTCTCGGTTGCTGTAATTGAGGAGACCGGTTAAAGCAGTGCTTCTTTTATCACGATTTCCTCTCTACGAACTCTTTATCTCTTATTATCTTTTCAGATTATTCTTGCTATGTGCACGTTCTAAAAAAAAAAAGTATAAATTGCGACCATTTCAAGGAATTTTTAAATTAAGTTTGGCCAATCTCCTTAAAGTGTTTCTATTTTTCCAATTTTAGATCAGTGCTGCTTCAAGTTAAAGAGATTGAAGAGAAAAGAGATTGAAGGTGACATTTTAATTAAGATTGGTTGGCGTTAACCCATTTCTACCCGTTGGCTGTTAGCTCTAAGAGGAATTTTCGCCGGAAAGCCAAATGAGGATAGAGTAGCAGCCGAGAATCACGTGGGCTTTTTTCCAACTGGCTCGAATCGATAATCTCAACCCTTGCCTATCCACAGAATACTGACTACTGAGATAATGCACCATACTTCTCCAAATCGCGGTTTCAAATATTTCGTGCAAATTTTTTGTAGTAAGTTTTGTTTATAAATTACGACATTTTAAATTTCCTTTCCACAATTTTTTATTATCTTGAATGCATAATTCATTTTTTTCCATGATAATGCTAGCAGACGGCATTTGCTTTGCCTGTTTGATTTCGGTGAAAAATTATAAATATGGTTCATTCCAAGGAAATTTCTAGGCCTACAACTAGTTTTCTTTGCTGCTCCATATATGAGCTTTGCATGCTCTTAGCACTTCAACCTATTATTATCATTTTCTCGTTCAATAGTCCCATATTAGATGCAATTAGTAGCAAAATATGCGAAACTTTGAAACAGAGCAAAATTTTCAGATAAATAATGGAGAGAAATATTATAAATCTTCTTTGATATAAATGGTTAATTTGAAGATTCGGTGATCATAGCTTATCGGCATGAATTTAAAGAGAAGTATTCATTATCAACGTTTGCAAATCATTCATGATTTAGAAGTATTAAGATACGATAACGGATCCTATAAACCAAAATCAAGAAAATATCCAATGTAGAGGCCGCCTGCAATTTATCCTGCTTTTATGCAAAATAAATCTAAAAGTGGTTCAGAGACATTTCAAAAATGGATAACGTTGCGCTGTCAGCATGAAAATATTTCTGTTCATCACCACATCACAAAATTTTGATCAGAGGGAGAAAAGGCAAGGCTTTTATGGACGATTAAAAAATATTCAGAAATCTTCGAGCGAGTTATACAGATGATAATTTTAAGACTTCCATGAAGTTTTTATTTTCTACTTTTTGACGATACTTATCACTTAATTCTTAAATCCATTTGCACCTATACTATAATTCGATCCTAGTTAGTTAATTAATAGTCTGCATTCGCCGGTTCCGATTATTCTTCCAGTCTATTAAGATTCCCTCATCGAGTAAAATCTATAAGTAGTGGAGCAAGGTACAAGTCGAATTAGAGTATAGAAATAAAGGTTTCCAGTAGATTTTCATTTTTAATGATACGTTACTCAGCCAGCGGATATGTTTATTAATCGATCCATAGTATTTGAATCCACAATTCTTGAACCATTGTTTGTAACTGCAGCCTATAAATGCGTTTTACTATAAATAAAGGATTATTTACATTTAATGAGTTTAAAATGTTTTTCATGACCTTAATAGGTCATTCTTAGGTAATATGTGGTTCATCGATAAAAAAATTAATGGTTCAACTATTTGGAAATCGTACTACATAAATTGAGACCGACTGAAAAATTAATTACGAAGTATAATCCAAAACAACCATCTTTATTTTCTCTTTTTGGAAAAATAAAATAAGGTATTTTCTCTTTTTGGTTCTTTTAAAAAAGTGGATTTTCAGGATCCTTAACAACACTGAATAGCCAAAATTGTTGCTATTTTTTTCCTCAATAATAATCATCATTAACAAAAATAAAAAGGGTCTAATTTGTAACAATTGGAAGAAAAAAAAGAAAAAAATAGCGAGCCAAAGGCGCGAAGTCGAGAGATTTATATGTGGACCAGCAATATATGGAGTTAGACGATGGAAAAAGGAATGGCTTCCATTACTGTCGACGATATCACCAGACCGCCGCTTGGAAGCGTCTTACTCTTGTAGCCGTTGGAGCCAGCATAACCAGTAATGGCGAGAGCTGTTAGAAGAAAAAGAAAGAACTTTCGAGAAAATTTATGGTACTAATTCGAAAACTCGAAAAATTTGTCCTAATTTTTCACCATTTCACCATTTTTCCATCTATAATATTTTTGTTCACCTTTATTCATTCGCTGGCGAATAGAGATTTCTTAATACATTCAAACGCAATATTAACAAATAATGCCAAGAAATAAACAAAGAGCGACTGACAATCTTGACACACTTCCCATATTTTTGTGGTTTTGTTGTTTTCTTGATTTTCCATTTTTTTCACGCAAAATGTTGATTAGAGAGCGAAGAAATGGGGCAGGTACAGTGGAATATAGTGGATAGTAGAATGTGGCATAAATCCAAGTAGAACACCAAGTAAAGTGGATTTGACTACTAAGTGCCTTTTGATGTGGGTAAACTTGCCATTGAAAATAAAATCTGAATGCTAGCGGGGACCCAAGTACACTCCTATTGAAATGGCTCTTTGGCTGAACGCATCTTAGTAGCCAACTCATAGAAGAATTAAAAGAATAATTAAGAAATAATTAATTTTATTTTACTAAATTTTACCTGAACGTCAATACAAAAAAAATTGTTAAAAAAATATATTATAACTTGTAAAAATTTTTATTTTCAGCGGAAGCGAAAATAAGCAGAAACGTCAAATAAGTAGAAAAAAATTGCAGAAAATTAGAATATCGACCAGCTGAATTTATATATAAATTAAAGTAAGAAATTTTGTCATATCGACCGAAGAGCTTAGTGCTTAAGATGCCCTAAAATAAATTCACAGCAGCAATAATTTTTCTATAGAAAATAGAAATTTTCTTATAAATGAAGGAGATGTTTATCATCTCACCGTTGATCGAAAAACTGTTGAAATATCAAGATAACAAAAGCTGAAGTACCAAGATATTTTATAACAAAGGCTGAAATTTTCGTTTCTTTAATCATTTTTTATCAATGATTATTTCGATATGAGATTCGATATGTGAATCAGTTCTTGGAAATCGAGTGGTCTTTAATAGTGGCTGAAATATTTAAATTCATAACAACACGTTTAACAATTGTTTGTATGTTTCCAAATATCATTTATATTATTTTATTTAAAAATATTATTTTAAAAGAATATTACTATTTAAATGAATAAAATGGTGGAAAAAGTCGACAAGATAACAGTTCATACAGTTGGGTTGACAGAATTATATAGAATAATACATTCCAATTTGATATTTAAATTTAAATTTACTTCAGTTATTTTAATCATTTATAAAAACGAAAAATCGAGAAAAAACCAAGGAAATTAAAAAAAGAATTTTGATTTGGAATTCCGAAATTCCATTTCTTTTTTTTGATTCCTAGGAAATGAAATCGATTCAAAAATAAAAATTTTTGTGGAAAGAGATGGGATAAAGAAGTCACATTTTTCGGAAAGAGATACCAAATCCAAAAGCTACATAATACGCCGATCAAGTGTAAACTTATCGATAAAATCATATGTTGAGTTTCACTGGGCGAGAACATTATAATCGAAATCGGCAAAAATCCTATTTTATAGAGCAGGAAAACCTGCAATATTGTCGATATCAAATGATCAAATTTTTAACATCCTTGATATGTTTACATGTAGAGTCTTATCTTAAATGTGGAATACGATAACCTTGATGTATGCATCAGAAATGTGAAGCGCCGTGCTCTAGACACTAAAAATTTAATTTAATTTAATTTGTTGACCATTTTTATTGTTGGCTAAAATAATTTAAATCAAAATCTCTAAAATCAAATCACATTCTGGAGATGAAAAAAGATTGAAGATCTGGGATTCAGAAATATTTATCAAGTGCATCAGGTCGTTTTCGAAGATGTAGAACAAGGCAGTGGATTATGTAGTGGATTATGAAACCGGCTATTTTAAAAGAATGGTTCGGATGCTGATAGGAGAAAACTTGTTATTAAAAAAATGATATGGTACTAAAAAATTTAGAAACTTTCAAACTTTTCGTTCTTTTTCTAACAGCGCTAACTTACCGTTTCTGATTTTGCTGGTTTCTAAGAAGGTAACTATAATGAGAAGACACTAAAAAAGCAAAAATTTCCAATTGTACCTACAACTAATGGAACTAATCTAACCCGAATGATAACCGCTTATATATGAAAATAGCTGCTAAGTAAGAAAAATTTTCAGAACTTTGTTTCAATGCATTGAAGTTAAGCACGATTCGCCTGTGCTGCTATTATATTAAAATATTTCGAAAAAAAATACCTGAATTTATTTCTCTGCACTTATGAAAATAACAATCAGCAAATGAATATAAGAATAAATATTACAAAACGCCAATCATAAATCTCTAAAGATTTCACTGATCTTCGTTGACCCAATTTCCTAATAATGGTTCTCCTTTAACCAATTCCTATTATTTCGTTGCCTGTGATCAATAGGTTGCCAATCAGAAGTCAATCGTTATAGTTCTACTTTAATAAAATGAATAAGGTGGCACGAGCAATCTGAAGAAAAAAAACATTTTCTAAAAATTTGTTACGAATGGATTTGTCGCGTATTTGGTAAAATATATTGTAAAATATAAAATGAACATTTCATACATAAATATTCAATAAATATAAACCATTTAAGTTTTGTCATTAATACCTCAATTTCAATTATCAATATCAATGAAATATCAATTAATAATATCATAATAATTAATAATTAATAATAATTAATATCATAAAAATGAAATATCAATTTTTATTAATTCCATTATTCGGTTCGGTTTTTTTAAGCATTCTCATTTCCCTCGGAATGGACTTATGGCGCAGTAAAAAACGATAAAAGAATCGATTTAATGATCCTTCCACTAGTTACAGGCAACGCCTGGCTCCAGTGTGCTCAAATGTGAGCAGAACATCCATCGAACGATTGGAGAATAAAATTCAGTGGGTGAAGGAAGCAACGGCGGCGAAATAAACCCAGCCGACTTCAGATTATAGGGTTAAACATCAAATTTGGCAGATGATTGCAAGACAGAAGCGGCTTTCGCTACATCTTTTCTTCTGTTTCTGCTTCTTAATTTATTCCGATTATTATTTGCTATGATAAATGCATGATTTTTCCAATATACACAATTTGGGCAATTATTGTAAAATAAGAATCCAATCTTATGGTATTAAGTGAAGAGGAATGAAGAGGATCTTCTGCCGCATAAAATGAGAAAGCTTCGAAAATATAAAATTTGTAAAATGAGAAAAATAAAAAAACCTACTTTTTTACCATAAAATTAACGAAAAGAGGGCAACTTATGCGATATTTAAGCTTATTTTTGATTTTCTTCTAACAACTCGCATTATTACTGGTTAAGTTGGCTCCACTGGCTATAAGAAATTCTTCCCAAGCTGCTCCATCAGTGGAAATAGAAGCCATCCCTTTTTCCATCCTCTAAGTCCATACATACTATGTGTTATGCGATCAAAATCTTTCCTGACTGTATCAGTCCAGGTCTTCATTGGCTCTCCTCGCTATCCATCACAGGGTTTAATATATCAAGTAGCGAAATACATATCAGCTCCTGTGGCAAGTGACGAAGAACGTCGCCTAACCAGCGAAGACGACCTTCTGCCATGGCTACTCTTAAAGACTGCGTAACATCGTCCGTCCTCACTGACCTTGTTTTTATGTAACTAATGCACCAATGTTTGGTTCGATGCAAATAGCAGTTCTCAGTGAATTCTCAATTTTAAAGCATACTTTTTTACCGCCGCCTTTTCTTCATGTATAACGAAGATTTCATTACCCAGGTTTGAAATTTATGGTTACAATGCATCATTACTTTCACAACGAATGCTCTCAAATCCCACTGGGTCGAACAACTGGCGACCGCGTTTTGCAGCAGTACGGCCACAAATCTCACGAGGTGATAGAGTTAAGAAATTTTCCTCGGGCTTTGTTTATTTTTGTCCATTCTGGATAAAAGTCATTAGGGATGCCTTGTTACTATGAAATTCTTGGATTGGAACGGGACGTCGACGAGGGGACTATTAGAAAATCGTATCGCAGATTGGCACTTCTATGGCATCCTGATAAAAATCCAGGTCGTGTTGAGGAATGTACAAAGTAAGTCTTTTTCGTTTTCTTAACTTCGTAGCTTTCCTTATAATACATTTCTCTGGTACTCGGCCAGCATTTGGCAGCATTTGCTTATTTCGAGGGTTCGCTTCTTTAAACCGAAATCACCTCCTAACTATTTATTTATGCCTTTTGGCGTAAATGTTGATCAAGTAATCGAAATTTGCAAGCAAATATTTATTAAATATATTCAAATATTAAGGCAGTTTGCTTTAATTCAAGAGGCATATGAAGTTCTGAGTGATCCGCACGAACGTGCTTGGTATGATCGGCATCGAGAGCAGATTTTACGAAGAGGTTTTGATTTTTTGACTTACTTCGCATAAATTCAGATTTGTATTCCATAATTTTCCAATTTTTACATTGTTATTGCATTATTATTGTGTGGCATCAGTGTTCTCTTCGTTCCTCCAAAAGTTTTTTATAAAAAAACTTTTCGTCTATGCGTATCTGCAACCAACTTGAAGCATTCCTTCGAGTTCAAAGCAGTTTTTTCCCTAAAAAATTGAGCATAATTTTCAGATTTGGATGAACATTATGAAGATAATAGTTTGAATTTATTTCCTTATTTTTCATCGAATTGTTATTCAGGATTTGACGATGCAGACCAAGTAGTTTATTTTAATTTATCAAAAACAGGCATTAGGGAAATTTTTTAATGAAATCTGAGATAATTTCCCACCTGAGAAAATATAAAATTGACCGATTTCTCTAGCACTTATCTTTTTTGATTAGATTAGCTGCTTTGGCTATTAGGATGAGGCCTTTCAAAGAGTCACTTGGAGATAGAATGGTCCTCTCCACCATTTAGATAATTATGACTATAATTATTTCTTAAAACATAGTTTTCTTAGAAAAGTAATATGGAAAAGTAATAATGTAGAATAATATAAAATTTAAAGTAATATAAAATTATAGTAATATAATTAAAATTAAAATAAAGTAATATAAAATTATAAAGTAATGTAAAATTTTTTTCAGAGCTTTTACACTATTTATCGTCGCGTTTTCGAAACTATTGCAAATGAGGATTATGCTTATATAGACGATCCTAGTGTAAAATACCCTACTTTTGGTTATTCGAATAGCTCATATATTGAAGTAAATTTATCTATTTTGTTGGAATTTTTTTCTATTTCTGAAAAGGTCTCTTTTATGATTGAAAGAAAATCCACATGCAGTATAAATGAATGACTTGAATTGATGTTCACACAAAATCCTATCAAAATGCATCGTAATATTGTAAAAAATTGGAAAAATTTGTTTTTTTATAAACTTAAGGTTTTTAAAATTTAAATTTAAATTTACGTACATGTTTTAATAAATCTCAATAGTATCCAACCTTTTTGTGGATGTAAAATTGAGCAATTATTTAAATTCATTTATCGTAAAGCATTTCAAAGATTATTTAACCGCGGGCACTTTTAATTCTTTCATTTTCACTTTTTTTTCTAAATTTATTACTCTTTTTTTCACTTTTTTCATTTTATTTTATATTTTGGGGAATTTTTAGATTGTTGGTCCTTTTTATGGTTTTTGGCAAGGTTTTTGTACGTCTCGCACATTTTCTTGGCTTAACAAATATGATACTTCAGCAGCACCTAATAGAACGATTGCCAAAGCTATGGAAAAGGAAAATAGAAAATATCGAGATGAAGGAAAAAAGAAAAGAAACGAAGAAATACGAGTTTATAATTTCATAAATATTTTTAAGCCATATTTTACAAATTTTAAATTTAATACTTATCAGTATCAATATCATAAATAAATTGTCGATTCTTTTTTTGTTTTTTATGATTTGATTTTCTCATTTTTTTAGATTTAGTTTCTAGAAATTTCTATTAAATATATTATATATTATAAACGTGGAAAAAAAATATGGTAATATCAAACACTGGGTGATTCCTTTTTAATTGAAATTTATTTAGGAGCTTATCTCGTTTGTAAGGAAGCGAGATAAACGAGTTCAGCAGTACAAGAAAGAACTCGAAGAACGCCGAATCGAGCAACATAAAAAAGCTGAAGAAAATAGAAAACAAATGATTCAAAATCGACTGAAGTTAATATTTCATGCTAGAAATTTGAATTGCTAATTTTTAAATAAATTTGTGTTAATTTAATGTCCTTTTTGAGTAGCCCGTTTTGAGTTGATTTAACAGTTGGTTTCACAAAAATCTTATTTCAGTCAGTTAAATGATTACAAAGAAACAGACGAAATTCGCCAAAATTATTTGGATAATTTGCGAGAAATTGAAGAAGCTCTTGACGCCGAATATGGAGAGATAGTGAACAATATAGAAGATGAAGGCAGTTTATACTGCATATTGTGCGAAAAAGCTTTTAAATCTCAGTAATTCTTTTTTTCTAAATTTTTTCAAAATTTCGTTCTTTGATGACTACAAAAATCATTACTTAAGATTTACTTAAGATTCAAATTTCGTATTCTTTAAATTTATTTAAAGAATAATTGTATTTATTTTATATGAAAAGTTATCAAACATGATCAAGGCCTTGGTCTAAATAGTTTCTGATCATGAAAAAAAGGAAATAAAACATTGGCCAAGATATTACATTATTGATACTTTTTTTTTGAGAGTCACCACAATTACTGGTTAAAATCGCTCCGCTGGCTTTTCGCATCGCACAAATATGCCAAGGAGTCCATTGGCGATAGAAATGTAGGTGACAGCCAGGCTCCTACGGGAAATCGAATCCCAGCATTGGCTCTCTGAATTTAGCAATAACCCATTGAGCCATTCTATCCCCAAATTACTAATATATAAAATATCTTTATATACTCATTTTTAAAACAGATAAAACAGATAGGAGAAAATCACTTCAGATATAGTTTAATATTTAATATTTAATTTTTTTCAAAGTCTTTTTTATTCTTCTTATGTCTTGTTTTTTAACAAATTTTTTAGAAAGGCAATGGCAAATCATTTAAAATCGAAGAAGCATAAGGAGACCTTGCTGAAAGTCAAAGAGCACTTAAAGGTATTTTTATTTCATCCTATGCTCTATCTTGTTCAGTGAAAAAACGATCTTAAATAACCATGTTCTATTTATATTTGTAGGCTGAGGACGTATTATTTTTGGAAGCTGAAATGAATATCGAAGAGGACTTGAGAAGAAATATAAGCAGTTCTCTAGAGAAAAAGAAAAACAAGAAAAAATCTCGTCGGAAGGAAAGCAATTTAGAATTTAATGATGAAAATAATAGCAGGTGTCGTTCAGATTTAATATTTTTTTTAAAATATTTTTTATTTATGATTTTTTCTCGATTATTCCGGTTTGTTTTAAATTTATAGTGAATTTTGTGAAGAAAGGAAGAAAATTGAAGAAGATTACAAAAAAAGTGCATTTACATCAAGAGAATTTTCCACAAAATTGCCAACAGAAAGCAATGCATCTTCAGTCGGCAAGCATTTATTTGCGTCAACATGCAATTATTTTTTAAACTAATAATTTATCATGTTGTTTTAAAACATAACATAAATATTTACAACTTTTGAGAAAATTATTTAATTATGAGTGATTTATTATAAATCTTTATGGATACCGGAAAATATCTAATATCAAAGTATAAAGGAACTTATGCTTAAATTATCTTAAAACAAAGTGGTTAAAGAATTCTTTGCTAATGGTTAATCAGTTATTTTTTGTTTTGATGTAATTGGATTTGTTATTCTTATTCTTGTAATTATTTTGATTTTTGCAGAAAAAAAGAAATCTAACAAAAAAAACGTTGGTATACATATTTTGAAAGAAGCATGTACCGGTCCAAAAATTGGAATTTGCGACAAATGTAGTGCAGTTTTCGAGTCACGCTCAAAATTATTCATGCATCTGGAAGAAAGTGGTCACGCGTCTTTAAAAATTTCAAATATGCCTCAGAAGCGAAAGCAGAAAGCAGTCAAAAAAAAACGATGAAACTGTTATAATTCTAATGGCAAAAGCGGGTAGGTGGATCAATATTTACGATGATCTTTTAGATTGTCATCAACATTTTCAGTCATAGATAGTCGCTTTCTTCCTCGAAAAAATCTGCAGATCGAATGTTCTGGAGAGTCTGTAGGGTCTGGATAGTCCATGTTTCCAAGCATATAATGTATTAATTATTTATATTATATTTTATATAATAATATTATATATAATTTATATTGTAGTTGTATTCGCTCAGTTTTTTTAAATTTAACTTTGGTTATACATGAAGCGACGATATTCACAGAAATATTTCATTGCTAAATTAGTTTTTATTATTTAATCATGCTCGTTTGAAACAAATGAATGCAAAGAAATTCGATGAATTCTGAGTTGTTGAAATCATTTAACTTCTTAAATGAGCCAGTGAATTGTTAATTATTTTTAAAAAAGCTTGTTTTTCTTTTAATTATATCCTGTACTTGGCGATCATACGTCTATTAAGTTCTCCCAAATCGACTGATTGCCTTCTTTCTATTGATTGTCGTTCTTTAAAAAAGCTTTTGTTGATGATAACATTTTCTTCCTCAATTGTCTCATGATGCCTTAAATTTCTAATACAGAAACAAATTATTTTACTTGTAATTTGTCTGGTCTTTAATGTCTTTCTTTAGTCCTTTATATTTATTTACTTCATTTTTTATAATTTATTGTTAATTTATTGGTTGTTAATTTATTTTTTGAAGTACTCTTTGTTGTACTCTTGCAAAGTTCTTTTCGAAAGTAAAATAAACTTATTAATTGAATTATTCATTCTACCTGATGTCACATTCTTTTGAAAAAATGAATCGCGTGTTTATTCCATCTGCTGGAAATTCTTCCTAAAAAAGTTATAATTGCATTTCAGATATTCTTCGCCTATTTAAAGGATGATTTTTGCAACATCTTTAACCCATCTAAGCTTATTTTTCCTTAGAAATAAAAATACTTGAAGTGAAAATCCTATTCGCTTTTTAGGTGTGTAGCGATTCTTGAAAAGTCGCGATGATTTACGTGAAAGCATTTGGTTTTCAGCAATAGCTGATGATATCAACCTGTCTAGATCACGCAGAACTCCTTTTAGTTGACGAGGTGTCGCCTGTGTCAAAATTTGAATTTAATTGTTCTTGTTCAATTTTAAAATTCAACCATCATTATGTTTGCGCGAAAAGAATTTATTTTTTTTTATGACCAGGTAAAATTCTTCTATCTCCTTTATCACTTTGTTTAATTGAATTATGATAAAAAATTGAAAGATTCAAGGCATAGATAAGTTTGTCCTAACATTGAATTCGGTTGCGACTATCTCAAGCAGTTGGGAAATTTTCATGCTTTTCCCTCCGAACCATACATGAACATCTCTGGCTCCTCGAAGACTTCTACCCAAATAGTGAATCTTGAAAAAATTTCAGAGAAAATATTGAAATTGCGTAAAATCAGTTAATTCTAAAATTTTTCATATTTTTTAAGCGTTGTGAATAATTTTTGCATAAATTTTTGCGAAAAAAACTCTGGTTTTCAAACTAAAACCTTATAGAAATATATAATTTGTAAGTAATTTAGACAGGTAAGTTACCAGATAATAAACGGAGCACCAACTAAGAATCATCGAGAAATAAATCCGTTTTTTCCAATTTCCGTTTTTAAAAGTTATTTTTTACTTACCGTTCTCAAATATGTGCTCACAATAGAAAACATTGTAGTCATTAAAACCATTCCCCAAATCAAATAAGATATCATTCCAATTAATCGCAATGGATCTGCAGCGGTTGGAAATCGATCACCGAATCCAACCGTCGCAAAGCTTATGACACTAAAATACAAATTTCTGGTTATTTAATGTAATTAAATTTAATTTTAAATTGGTTCTAATTAGTCCAACCTATTAAATTTCCTTATTAGTGATAAAATATTTTAGATGATTTAAGTGCAATTTAAAAAAAAAAAAATTCTGTCAACCTGAAATATACATCGTCAACGGAAAATCCTTTCCCTTTTTTGTAGAATAATAATGATCCAAATGCAAATGTGATAATGAAGAGTAAAAGAACCGTAGGTAGAGGCATTTTAGCTTTCTCGCAGGAGCGCCATCTAAGATCCTATAAGAAAATTAGAATTCGAACATGGTTGCCTATAAATAACGCTATTTTAGAGCATAATACTATATAATACTTGCCACTTTGCATTACTATTGAAATGGCATAATTTGTATAGCAATAAATCAATTTTTTGAAAAATATTTTGCATTTGCCGGTTTGGATCGAAAATAAATATTGGTTCTGCCTATTGATATTCGCTATTTATTAGTCACCATATTCTTAGCAGAAACTTAAAATTGAACGTTATGACGAAAATTATCAACTTATCAGTAATCGCCAGTAACGAAAGTTATTAGTAATTTCAAATTAAAATCAATCAATAGAATTTGAGGAAAGAATTATATACTTTGCCAAAACAGACGAGTATCATCCAGTATCCTTTTGTAAAATATTTGCCAATATTTGCTAAAGTAAGCAAAGTCATTGGAATGCCAAAAATTGAAAATACAATGCAAAATAGCTGAGCTGCAGGAGTTGTTGGACTGATATTACCGTATCCTTGAAGAACCTTCTGGATTTCATCTTTTTGCAAGAACTTTAAATCATTTAAACTGTGCAATTTTTTAAAAGTTTAGTAAATTTAATAAATTTTTCACCGATTGTAGCAAGTGTAGTAAAAGAGAAAAGAATTATATCCGTAAAGTTTTCATTGGCCATTGTGCCATCTGTAAGAACGAATACTGCGGAGCCAAGAATTATATAAGAAAACAGCAACGCAATTACGATAAGTTGCGGTATAACCATTCTGAGAATCTGAACAAATTGAGAATTCTTCTTGACAATAAATTCAAAATTCAAGTTTTTATCTTCCTCTCAAGTAGACTGCTCGATTGATATTTAGAAGTTCTAAATGCGCAGTGAGGAAAAGGAAAATTTTAACTAACCTCATTCTTCCAAATGCATGAAAATAATTTGAACAATTTCATACTGGATAATAAGCCACACTCCAATCTCACAGAAATCTCAGATTTTTATACATTTATCTGAATTATTTCGACAAATTTTCTGATCACTTTACTGCAATTTTTACGAATTTGTATTAAAAAGAATACTTTTTTAAATTTATTGAATTTTGAAAATGAAATAAGTAAAGTGGATTAAATATTACTCTTTCTTGATATCAAGGATGCGGCCATACTTAACAATAAAAGCAACAATTCTTTTTCTTCTTTGAAAAAGAACTTGAGACTATTAATGGAGACAATTATCTGTACACGCGGTAAAGCCTTGGTCACATGGACGTTAACAACATGGACGTTGGGAACCAATTTTCCATACTTTGTCCAAATATCCATCGTTTGTTTTGCTCAATTCGAGTTTCGTGCAATTATTATACTTTTACCAGCAGCAGAGATGCAGTAGCATTGTGGTGTAGATAATTACGGATGAAATGTCCAAATATCTCGATCTAATTACATGGGTCCCAGTTAGCACCATAGCTTACTTACTTTCGATTCAAAGCAAAGTTCTTTCTTCTCCAACGTCTCAGTTATCACCCTGTTCTTACGTTGAGCGAAGATAATCGTGTTAATTAAATATATATTTATTATAATTAAATATAAATATATTTATCTGAATTATTTTAGGTTCTATGCGGAATTTCAACTGAACTTTAATAAAACATGGAAAATAACATGGTCATATTCGTAGGAGACTGGAATGGGCGCCGCTTAGATCATGATGCTGTCATGATGGATTTCATGGCGGGCAAATATGGTGAAGAACATGGATTTTTTGCTACCTATCTATACATCCAGCATCGAAGAATATATTTAGTTATAAAGAACTCTCCGAATTACCAACATATTGATTATATTTTGGTCAACTGTTTGAAAATATTCCGCACTAAATAGCCGCTCCATTAATTTCTCGATTTCAGACTATATATTATGGTCAAGACCACATCGAGCGCTGAAAACAACCTCTGAATCTATCGCAAACTGAAAGATTTTGGGACAATAAACTCATTTCAAACCGAATTATATGTCAATGATATCTCTGGAATGGTCGAATAAACATTGGTCCCAACTAAAATACATTTCTTTGAAGTCTATGTTAGGATAGTCCAGCTGTCCGAAAAGGGCGCCAGATTACGACAAGACGTCGATCCTGGCTATCGAAAGCTTTGAACGACAAGAACAGTGATATAAGGATGTTATTGGAGTGTGGATTCGAGTAGGCGACAGTACGAAGCTATTCCGCCTTCATAAATCGAGCTTAACTGGGGAAATGATTAGTGAAACGATCCAAAATAGTGGTGTGCCTATTAGAGTTCTTAAAGACCTCCTAGACCTCGGTCGATGAAATTCTTTTAAATTTGAATTAATTTATTTTAAGATGCATCATCTGTCATTCTCAACATGGCTAAAACGGTCTTCGGAATGATATCTTCTATTGCTACCCATTCCTAACATCCCTATATCGTTGTCCAACTCATTTTCAAAGGATTGGTATGGGAAAAAAAACAGATGACTGGAACAAAGTAATCTTGCTTCCATTGCTCCCACAACTGTCGTAGGATTCGCTTACTTAAGCATTATGACAACACAAGAATTCATTCTAATCAGCTTGAATTAGCTTAATAGCTGTAATCAGACCAAGAAGCGGGTCTGCTAGCAAACAAAAAATTCACATTAATAAGATATTGGAATATTGTTGCAAATATCGGCAATCCACCGTCATTCCATTGATTTTGCAGCTGCCTTCGATTCAGTTGATAGAGCAGTGCTTTTGAGAGTGATGGCACGTGCTGGTATTCTAGAGAAAATCATTCAACTCATAAAGGCCAGCGAACTGGATATGTGGTGTATAATGACAAATTCTTTCGAACTAAAAATTGGTAATCGTCAAGGCTTTGTCCTTTCCTTTGCAATATTTAACTGCGATTGTTTGAATTGTGGGCTTCACTTGCCGACACTCAAAAGATATATAATTCACACCAGCGTATACTTTGGATCACTCATCCCTGAGGCACATTTCATCATATTATATCTTAATACGCTGATGTCGTAATCCTTTTTGTTGTAACCTTTTTTTGATATAGTTGATGCTGATAAAATATCGGTTTTTATCAATTTATTATGAGTTGAAGAATTCCAAGGCTTCAAATATCTTAGATCCACTCTTATACCAAGTGACCAAGCAAAAGACGAAACTGGAGGTTCGATAATCGTCATAGAAAATTAGTTGAAAATTAGTTGAATATGGTGGATGGCTTCAAAAGCGAGGACGAGCAATTATAATTATAATTAGGCTGCCCAGCAATATATGGATTTAGACGGTGGAAAAAAATGGCTTCTTTTAATCTCATGGCATCGGATTGAACAGTGCCTTATCCTTGTAGCCAGTAGAGTCGCCCCAATCAGTAATGATAGAAGCATTTTTCAAATATGCACTTTTAAAATGGCTTTAGAAATATGATTTTAGGAAATGTGATGAATTCAAAAAATGTTCAAATTCAAAAAAGAATCATGATGATGGAATTAATGATGAATTTTAATGATGGAATTCGACCGAAACAAGGCAAGAATAAATGATAAATATAGGGATAATGAAATATCTAAGAATAACACAAGCATAAGTTTTTTATAAAAAAGAAAATTGGTATGAACTACTGTTCACTATCAACCAACCATTTACTAAAACGAAAGAACAAGTTATAGAAGGCGATGGGAAAGGGAAAGACGGGAAATGATCGGCTGACATCAAATTAATCTTTCGATTTTTTTGAAAAAATTCTCACTAAAAAACAAACTTCTTTTATTCGGAGAATTGCTAAAAATTGAAAAAGTATATAATTAATTCCTTGAAAATATAAAAGATCTGGATACCTAATTTTTAAAAGGTTCAAGAGTGCACACCATATGGTATGTCATGGGTATAGGAATAAAGATGTTAAAGATATAACGACTGAACTCGAATTAATCCTTAAGCTTAAGCTTGTTGCCAAAATGTATAAGAGAGAGGGTTCAATGAAAATTCCTTATAAAAAAAAATCTGAATTTGAATGCTGAATTTATTGAAATCGAATTATCAGCATAATAAAATTTATTGAGTGCTTTTGAGAAATTAGTAAATTTGATCAAAAACGAATAATGAATGCAACAAATCCATTTTTAATGATAAAAATGATTAAATGACAAATTAAAACTGATTTTTTTGTAGATAATTTACCAAATTTTAGTTCTTAAAATCGAAGACCTGTTCATTATGATCATCAGATTCTGGTTATTGTGGTTATGGTAATTAGATGTCAATTCGATGCCAATGACATCTTTAATTTTATTTTGAGGTTTTCTTCATCTTCTTCTTCTAGCTCTCACCGCTCTTACTGGTTAGGCTTGCTCTATTGGCCACAAGAGTAAGACATTTCTACGCTGCACAATATGATGCCACCGTCGACATTACTTTCTCCGTATCAGTCCAGGTCTTGACTGGCCTACCTCGTTTTCGACATCGTCCATTACAGAGTTTAGCAAGTAATATGTGCTAAGTCTTGTGATGGATGACGAAGAACGTGCCATAACCAGTGAAGGTGACGCTGTGTGATGGTATTGATAATGCAGATGGTATATGAACGAAGGTGGATGCAATCATGTGAAGTTCATCTGCCCGGAGGACCTGCAAAAATGTAACATGGGTGGTCAAAGTAAGATGACTTCTTAATACTCCCCACTCTCATTGGCCATATCTCACAGCCATATAGCAAGATCGAACGAATCACATAAATGCTGAATTTCGTTTTTACGGTGATTTCGCGACGCTTCCATAGATTTCATCAACCGGAAGAACGCATTTCTAGCTGACGTGATCCGTGTTGTAATATCATCTTTTGCCTGGCCATTTGGTATTAGAGTGGACCCAAGGTATTTAAAATTGGACGCTTCCTCGACCCGCAATGAATTTACAGGCTTAGGCTTAGGTGTCCATTACCCATTCTATCGCATAGTATTGTAGAGGAAAGGACGCAACCTTGACCGACACCAATTCTTATTTCAAAGGAAGCTGTCAATTCTCCATATGCAGATGCGCCGACGTACACTCATAAAATGCCTTTATGAGTCGAATGGTCTTTTCTGGAGCATCGTCGCGTTCCATCACCTTCAAAACACTTATCAATCGAAAACAGTCTCAAAGTCGATAAAACATGTAATGGTGGGTATTTTGAAGCGATGTTTCATTTTTTGAGGCGAATATCTGGTCAGAATATCGGTCTGATCCAGCTTAATTAGGGCGCATCCTGCTGCCTGAATAAAACAGAGAAATATCTAATTATATCTAAATAAAGAGAAAAATATCTAAATATCTGATTCCTCGATAATTGTCGAAGTGCGTCTTATTACCTTTCTTTAGAATTTGGAGCAGAAAGTGAGTTGGGAGAGAGTTCATCTCTCTATTGTACCAGAAAGTATTTTGTTGAAGGCATGTTATGAAGAACGATGGTCAACATTTAAGGTTTTCTATAGTTTTTTATCTTCATTTACAATTATTAATGCGTTATAATTTCAATTTCTTATTCATTTTATCTGAAAATTCCCACAAAATCTGGTATTTGTGAGTCACCCTACCAAGTAGCAATTTTTTCCGGTAAAAACATTATTCTTAGTGATTTCAAGAATCTTTATTACTCATTTTTTTATTAAATATCTATTTCATACTTATCATGGATCTTTTCTTAAAATATCATTTACTTGACCTAAAAATCTAAAAAATCAAATTGAAAAAATCAAATTTGCTTGACCTAAAACGAGTCTCTAAGTTTCTTCGGAATATCATTTAAGAACATAATATTCAAAATTTGGATGAAACTTGTGGTGAATTCCTTATTTCAGTCGATTTTCACTTTAATTTTTGCAATCGTCAAAGTGATACGATTTTTAAAATAGATAAGATAAAACTATAAAATTATATGCCTTCTGTAGCACTTAGGGCACAATTTTGGTATGATATGGCACAAACTAAATCATTATATTTGAATAAAATCTATTTTTAATCTATGTTTCAATTTAGCAAAAATAAGTCAAAAGTCAAGTGATAAAAAGAGTGGTTTGAGGATAATAACAATTAAACTGAACAGTCAGATAATAATCGATAATAATTATCATTAAATATTATTAAATTTGAACAAAATGATTGAAAAATATCATCAATAAATTTTAAAGAGTGGCATAACCGGATTCGACAAAATTATTGATCAAAATAACTTGAAAAATTTTGGTAATTAAACTTTATTTTTGAAGAAATTTTAGAATGATTTTAGTGATGTCAAATGCAAAGTTTTGACATTTCCATCACATTAGAAAGCAGGCAAATAAATTTTTTCGAGCGAAAACAAATCTAAAATTTTAATTTTTATGTTGAACAACAATTTGATTGTGCCGCATTAAATTGCGCAAAGTTTTTTGTTACAGTTTTTTGTTTTTGACATATCCAGAATGGCTTACTGGCGAGCCATATGACAAATATAAAAGTTTTAAAGCCCGGGCAAGGAGGAGGAAATTGCAAATCACATCATCCCATTCGATCGTTTCGAATGAACAGATCTTCGATATATCTTGGAGTTACATTTCTATTTTGTTATGAACATCCGTATTTATTTATTCTGATGATTTCGTTTTAAGTGAATTCTTGTACGCAAAAAAAAAAGATGAACTCAAGATCAATTTTTTATCATTTATCATTTGTCAAGCTAATATCAAATACGTAATTAAAAACACTTGTTGATGCTTAGCCTTACCTTACTACGAAAAAATTTTCTATCTTCTTTATTAAAATCGCTATTCGATCACAAATTTTATAGCATAATTTTCGTTCTCAGTTTATTCATTACCTTTATGCTACAGTTATTCGATAAAAATACAGTATAACTACAGTTAAGAAAAGTCGTCGATTTCACATTTTTATTTTCGTCGTCAATAATTTCGCTTCACTTTAATGTTTCACTGAACCAATACCAAAAAATAATAATAGAAATTAATTATTATTAATTATTAATGAAAGAATTATATTATATTAATTATTATTAATTATTACTAAGAAAGGGATATATGATTTAAGCAAGAATATTATTTCAGTACCGCAATAAACGGATAGAATTGTTTATTGCTACTGCAGCTATTATTATAATTCGTATGATTTACCGGCATTATTAGTATTTACCGGCATTTTTAATATTTTGGACAACAATTGATAACATTGATGCTCATTAACATTGCAATGCTTGGAAATTTGAATGAACCTAAATTCTCATAAGCAAAAGCATACAAATATGGCCCAGCAATTCTGCATTGAAAAACACGCATAATATTAGGCTTAGAATCACTAATGCTGCGAACAAATAAAGGCTTACACAACGTGAATTATGAAAAAAAATTTATCGCGGAAAGAAACAAAGAACAAATTGAATTCTTTAAGCATAATGCACTGAAAAATAAAATTCGAAAGCCTCGGAAAGCCTCAAATTCTTTCACTCACTACCAATCTATTTTCTCGGAAAATTCGTGTTTCAGCAGTGATCGGTAGTGAAGTGAGTGTGGTTCAAGGAGTTTGGATCATTAAGGTCATTTGTCATATGAAAAAAGGGGTCCTCTTGTGTTAAAAAATCAAATTATCAAATCAAATCAAGTACTTTTATGAGTGACAAATCCTTTTTTACTTGTTCTTTTTTTCATTATCTTTTTAAATGTTTCAAATAGTGCAGGAAAAGAAAATGAAAAAGGAACAAAAAAAGGCATCTTACAGATATACAATTGTAAAATGGATATTTTCCACTTTTATCCTGACTATCCTAGATTATCCTAGAAAAATTATAAATATCCTGGACTATTATATAAATTTAATTATTCTAGCTGTATTCTCGAGCATTAGAGTATTAGATAAAGTATTAATTTTTCTGAGGTTTTGCTAGTTTTCAACCCATGCAAGAAAAAAATTTTGATTGGTTTTGCATAAAAATTAATTTGAAAATTCACCGACAAAAAATTTTTTTTGGAAATTTTCATTTTTCCATATTTTTGTTCCATAATTTTAAAGACACAAACGTTGTAGAGAAATAAAATACAAAATATTTTAATCAAATATAAAAAATCCGAACTTTTGATGTACTCACAAGCAGTTCATCATCGTAAAAATTTGTTTCAATGACGATGTTGCCACTAAAAATTTATTTTATTTATTTATTTAAAATTTATTTATTTTTAATTTATAAATTTATGCAAAAAAAAAATAGGAAATGGAAAATTCGGAAATTTTTTTCTATTTTGGAAATAAATCTCAGTAATTTCTCATAAATCAACATAATTTCATCTTATAAGCAATTATCATTAATTTAGTAATCACTAATTTATCAGTATTTGTTATGTATATATTAGTATTTAAATGCTTTAAACTCCAAAGTTATAATCCTCATTATCCCTATGTTTATTCCAGTTAATAATGAAGAATGGTAAAATCTATAAAGGAAAATAGTGCTTCTCTTCTCCTCTAGATTACTTTCTATTCGAACAGATTATCTGCGCAATAATGCATGCATAGCACTATTAGCACTATTAGTGGTGTCAGGAAAACAGCAATGTCAAGAGCAGGCTTCAAAATCTCGACTCGACATGTTGAAAACCCTTTGATATCGCTATGTTCTTTGACAAAGCTCAAAAATTAAATGAGCTCCTATAATTTATTTAAAATTTTTTTTAGCAAATCCATTAGTAACGTCATCTTTAAGCCCTTTTCTGTCAGTTTAGTTCTGTAGGATCAGTAATATTCTTTAACATCACCAACTTCCTTTCTCTCACATCCTCTCAAATTTTGCAATATATTTTTGCTGCGACTACAAGTTATAAAATCGCCAGAAATAAAATGATGAACGGTATTTAGATGTAGATGAGCAATGAGAGGAGAGAGCTATAATTAGAATGAAAAATGAAGCATGAAAATAATATAGCAGGATTTGAAAACATTGAGGGATAACTATAATGAATTTCCATGAAAAATCATATCATGGTTTGAAGACATACACACGACTCTCGTTAGAGCCTTTTCATTAGCCTATGATACTTTTGATAATGGCTATTATGATAAAAGAAAAATTTATAAATTATTCAAATTTATTCAATGTAATTTAATTTATTATGCAAATTTAAAGCCATACAACCTTAATAAAGAAGCTGGAAGCATTTGCGATTCTGGTGCTGCTTCGATAAGATTCTGCCAAGTGTTGGTGGATTTTGGGATAACAAATCCAAATTCGAAAAACCATTCTGAAAAAAATGAATTGTTCAGCGACTCTGAATCGTGATTGACAGTTTATAGTTCCATTCAAAAAAGTATAAACCTTCTATAACGGTACCCTTGAGATAAACTCTTTGCTCCAAGCGGAATTTTTCTATTTTTTCGTTTGATGTAAAGTTAATTTCTCGTGAAATCGTTCGACAACTTAAAATTTTCTGCGGAACACGAACTGAAATGAGTAATTTGATATTACCAAAAGATGTAGGTAATGATATCAAAATCATATCAAAATTTTCCTAAATGATATCAAAATTTTTCATTCTTGTTGCTAATTCTTTATCATTGAAATTTTTGTTGAAATCATTTCTGGGAGGTAATATTAGTAATATGCGTAATGATCTAATCAATATTCTGGAAATATGAATTCTTTTGGTTGGTTCGATTGAAACTATTAAGTTCGGTTCCTCTCTTTTGAATAAACGCATCATCGAAAATGAAACTCAAATTTCCGCCGCCCAAGCAGCTCTTCAAGTCTCATCGCAATAACCAGTGTAGCCAGTCAAACCAGAAATGAGTGTTGTTAGAAGAAGATATCAGAATTCAACATAAAGATCAACAAATATTAATATTTAAAAGCAACGAGTAAATTTTTAAAGCTCCAAACCAAATAATAATAATAATTTTTCGCCCCATTTCTTTTTGTGAGCACCATGAAGAAATTAAGCTAACAGCTAACCTTGATGTTCCTTGCATGGCTCAGCAAAATCCTCCGTACTTTGCCACAGTACCCTTCCAGTTTCAGCGTCGCGCAAATTCATCCAATTTCTAAAGCATTTAAGAAAAGTGAAAGTGAAAACCCAGAAAATACCTTTTCATTCAGCCTTTATGGCTGCCTTAATTTAATTAGAACGAATTAGAAAAATTTTATTTAATATTGCAATTCATTATTTTGAATTAATAGTTTCTGGATGCAATATGGATGCCTTATGCTTTATTGCTGATTAGTCTTGCTCTGCTGGCTTGTGTCGCACTAAACAAAAATGCTAGAAAGTCTCTTGGCGATAGGACAGGTGAGTCGCGAACATCGCACGGATTTTTGGATAGGGTTTAGAACTTCAGCATCGGCGCTCTCGATTGAGCAACAGCTCACTGAGCCGTCCGACCCCACTTTGTTAATAATATAAAATAAATGACATACAGCCTGAAACCTAGCATAATATCTCTCGCTCGATCCATATTTCTATTCATATTAATGATGGATTAGAACGAATTAGAAAAATTTTATAGCGATAATCAATACACAAGAAGAAGCATTGCGAAGCGACAAAAAATCAATTTCCACTGCCTTAAAAACTGGAAAAATAAAATTTTAAGCTCAAAAAATATCTAGCATAATCTCCTCCGAAACAAAATGCTATCGACTATTGAAATGAGGCGCCAGAGAGTCAATTTGGTATAGAAGAACAACAGCTGCTTTAAGTACCATCCGGATTCCACTTATAACAATAGATTCCAGGCGTTGGGAATCGACTGATGCACCACCTCAGTCGAGCAAAGTAACAAATAAAAAAAAGAAACGGAATTTGCCCATCATTATCGCTGCCAAATTGGGATTTTCTTGTAAATTGGAAATCCATGAAACTACAGCCACGCCTTGTTTGCTCCAACTTCTTTAATAATCGTCTCCTCGGTAACTCGGATTTTTAATGAATTATTCGGATTTCGTGAAGAAAGAAAGAACTTTCATACATCAATTTTAGATGTTGTATAAACAATTTAAACAAATGAAAACAGTTGGCCGAAGGATAGTGGCTCAGTGCATTGTGAGAGAAGTGCTTGGAGCCTACTTCCCACCTCCTGGAGTGAACGTATTACTACTTGAAAATTTGGGTTGTAGTCTGGCTGACGTTTTTCTCTCGTTAACTGCGCAAAAATATCTATTACTAACAGTCTGCGGGGCTTGCCAGAAATGCTAATTGTTAACACCTCATCAATAAAAATTCCAGTCAGCTAGTAAATTTTCGCTGTGGTACTTTAATTATAAATAATCTGGACCAATGGATTATAGATTTGTATTAGGACAAATCACAATTTTACTTCTTTTTTCTTATCAACATATATTGAACTATTAGTGCCATTGAATTTCACTAAAATTGACAAATATCGCTAAAATAAATTTTTAAAAAACTCAAATCGAGCTTCATTCCTTTTTCTAAAACACCGAGCACCGATCATTTCCGATTTCCGATTTGGCTGGGCGATCTTTGTCAGAGGATAGAAGTGAGGGTGAAAACCTTAGTTCGGATTTCATCTTAATTTTAATTCTATTCCCGTCAACAGATAGGAGGCAAACCTACAACGTCGAACCTCGATGAAATATTATTCCATCCACTTACTCCTTGCTTCAGTTGATTTTCTTAATGGTGTCAATTGTGATATTATGAGTATTATTAAACCAGATTTAATGCATAATGGATAAGATAAGTCAAATATTTCCTCAAGCTATGCAGTTTCAGATCGTTTTATCAGTGTTATCTTTGCTTAAACCACTAAGCCATTTTCATTAAAATATCATTCATTATCAACAACTTTTCTGTTATTTTCGCTATTAACATTAACTTATCATTATTTTCATCTTTATTATCAAAACACTGCTATTATTATTAATTAATACAATTACTTTTTTTGCCAATATTGCTCTCATTTGCTACTGCAATAATTTGAATAATGTAAATATTAATATTTATTGTGACACTGCATGCTGTTATTATTATTATTATTGTTTTCAAGAATTATTAAAGACCATTTTCATAGATAAATCATACGAATAGATGCAAAATGAAATATTCGAGAAAAATCACCTCTCTCTATTCCCTAATAAGTCGGAGACATAGGGCTACAAGCGAAGATTATAGAGCTGTAAGCTGTGAATTAGGAAAATTTAAAAACCGTGAAAAGTGGTTGAATAGGGATCCAACAGTTGTAAATAGTTGTATGGGTGGTGAGTGGTGTGTTACGTGGCTCATGCGGGTTATTGAGCGTTAAGGATGGCTTATTCAGATGGTTTAATTTAATGCACATAGTGCTCTTATAATTAGCCATTTTATACTTAAATGTATAAACAATTGTACCGTCGAAACGCGAATTTTTCGCGCAATAAATGAATTTATTTTTTATTTCAGTGGTGGCAATTAAACTTTTTTTAGGGAAATCTCGTCATAAATTATGGAAAACGACAATATAACAGTTAATAGTTACAGTGGAGAAAAAGAGGCGGAAAATTCTCAACAGTTGAAAGCTTCTTGCTCGTCAGCCGATGACGGTTACAAGCTTTCTCTTTTTAATCACTTTGCACGATTCAAAAAAGCTTTACTTTGATTTTTTGATAAGCGCAACTTATTTTTGGAGATCCTTTCATTATAAAATGCGGAATCTGCAAATTTTTAGCGTCTAATCATCAGTTTTGTTATTTTTTTATTGTTTCCGCAGTATTTAGCGATTTTCATTTGCTGAGAGAAAAGAAGGTGGAAGGAACATTGTTGTCAGGTGGGGTAAAATATATGGATGAGTGATAAGTGAAGCGTAGGCGCGATTATTATTTTACGCTTGGAGCTCACTTTCTTGTTCTTTGATTTGAGAGTGGTTTCTTGAAAGGGGTCAACTATTAATTTCGCCGGCGGCAGTAAAACTCTTTCAGAAATCTGGATGACGTTAACGTTATACGCATGCTTCTGTCGCCTATATCTCCCTCTCGAAAGTCCGACAAGCGGAAAGAACGAGTATAAAATGGTGATACCAGAAATGATGAACTGTACTAGAAAACAAAAGAAACTTTTAAATAAATGAAGACTTAAATGAGAGAATTATTGAAATATTCATGCTGCCGATAATGAACGAATAATAAACTTTTTGAATTATTTGTTTGAATGAAATGAATTCAATATTGTTTTCTTCAGATTCATCAGCCGAAATGTGTTCAATTATACCTGTTATTGACATGGAAAGATGCATGATATGTTTAAATTATACAATTGAGGATATAACTCGTGCAGACACTTGCAGACATTGTTTTTGCAATGCGTAAGTTGTGCGGCTATTTGTTCTTTTACTATCGTTTTACAGAATTTTATGCATGAAAATGAGATTTTATGCATGTGAGATACCGTGAGTGATTATTTTGATTAATTCTAAAAACTTAATGAAAAATGAAAAAACAATATTTTCAGATGCATAATAGAATGGGTTAAATTGAAACCAGAATGCCCAGTATGTAAACGACCACCAAATTATTTGTGGCATAATTTTACCGCAGATAAACTGGGAAATTTCTCCTACCATGTGTAAGTTTTTAGATGCCGAATTGAAATTCAAGAGCTCAGTTTCTGTTCCTTCATATCTTTTAGTTGCCAAATTTTCATTCCTAGGTTATTCCTTTCTTTTATGATTTTTTTTTCCCATTCTGCATTTGCTTATAAATCGATAAGGTATCGGATTTGGCAATAGTAATATGGCTTTGCTGTTTTTGTTTATAACCGTTGTATAAAAACGCTTTTTTAAAGATTTTTCTGTATAATTTTTTATGAGATATTTTTTAAAAATCTTTTGTATTCGTTGCTAAAGTCAATATTTTAGAATCGATATGGAAAAAATAAAATTTGAAGCTGAGGAGAAACGTATTCATTCATTAGCCAATCGACCAGCTGTTGCTGAACGAGCGATCTTAATCTCAAAAATTCGAGCTCTTCAGCGACTGCTTGAGTCAATCGATCTTCCATGCGCGACGTACCATTTTTTTTTATAACATGGTATTAATAAAAAGCGCCGATTTGGCTTGATTTTTTAATTCAAATTTTAAACTTTAAGAAAAAAATTCAAAAATAAAATTGGTTTTAAAATTTTTTTCTTAAATTTTAATTTAAATTCTAATTTAATCAGGTTAATTTGATTTTTAATTTAATTTTTAATTTGGATTTAGAGATAAGTATTAATTTTTTTGACAATTTCCTTAAAATCATCGAAGTTTTATTGTTTTTGCTTATTAAATTTGGGCATTTTTCACTTAATTTCTTTTTTTAAATTCTTGGTTAAAGATAAATGCTTATAGATCTCATTTGTTAGTAGAACGGCGAAGAACAATAGTCACTTCTTTGGCCAGTTATCAATTGCTTCTTGATAATTGGCATCGACCAAGGTAAGCCGCATCTTCTTTCAACCTTGATTTAACCCATATTCAAAAAAATTTTTGCAAAATTTTTCGTTTGGCAATATTATTTTTTTCTAATTAATTTCAAATTTTAAGGCAAGAATTGATGGCAGATCCAGTTTTCCGTAGATTAGTTTATGACTGCCATCTAGTGCGTTTTGAAATTACTAGATCACAGCGTATAGTAATTTCAAATACATTTTTTATTGAAAATGAAAGCGAACAATTCCCTCGAATTTCGCGGTTTATTCGACGAGAGTTACCTGTTGTTTCATTTGTTAATCTTTTAATTTTCTCTATCATTTTTTTTAATTTTATTTTATTATTTATATAGTATTTAATACGGACTTAACAACTGGTCATTCCATATAACCTTTTGAATCAAATTCATAACTCCGTTTAAAAATTAAAAATAATCTTAGAAATTCGCTTCGCTCAAAAATTATTAAATAACAATTTACACTATAATCATTACATTCTTTGATAGAAATAATTGTTATTTTAGGAATATTGCTGCGAAGATGAAGCAGTTCAAACTATTTATGGATTAATGAAAAAATATCACGTCCTTTCTCCAGCGTTTTCAGATTCATTGAAAAAGGAGGCCATTATTAGAATGTGTTATATTGATTGTTTCTGTGAATTATTATATAAATTTGCCACAACGCAACAAACTGTGGAAGAATTTGATGCAAATAGTGAATATGCAGAGTAAGTATTTGTTCAAATTTTTTCTATGAATAGTTTGTACTACTCAGAATTTTAAGCAATGAATTTCTTCAAAGACTGTATGAAGGGTAAACTTCATTTCATTCCAAAATTTGAATAGTGTTTTTTTTCGGTACAGTATAGAACCGGTGTTACTATTCTCAATGTAGAAATTTGATCAACAGAATCATTCCTTGGTCTAAATCCATATTGAGGAGCCATATCCTATTGTCATACTGCTGCGATCTATCCAGCAAAAGAAGGAATAAAATCTTAGAAATATCTAAAAAGCTGGCTACACATTTCTTTTTTGTTTGCATTGTGCAGTACTGTATTTAAAATATTTAAACCGAACATTAGAAAATCAGAGTTGTAATTTGACATTACCATGGAAAAAAATTTGTTTTTAATACCTTAATTATTTTTGAATAATAGAAATTAATAGAAAAATATTTTTCATAATTTAAAAATGTTAATTTATAACCCACTTCAGACGAACTGGTGCACAACCACTTTCAAGTGATCATGGTATATTTCCATCTCTTTTGAATACGAATACGTTATTCAATTTTCCAAGCGGTCGCGTTTTAGCTCCATACAATCTTGTCAGTCTTATTTTGGTCAAATATGTAATATTTGTGATTTCAATTTGTATCCAACAAAATTTTTGTGGTTTGGAACCAATTTTAATTTCCATTTTTTAAATTTGGCTTGTTGTTTTAGCTGAAACTTAGGCAATAAATGACTTATTCTTTTGTCATACTTTGAAAAATTTTTTAAAAAAAGCTTTTCAGGGAGTTCGTATGGCTCAGGTAAATGAAGATGAGTATGTTTTACTTTTTTTGTTGGAGTGGAAATTTAAAATTTTCTTTCATTCCACACATTATATTTATCATGATTTTTAAAGTGTCGTGGATATTTCATCATTTTTTAGACTCTTTTGGTTCTCTTTTAATAAGATAAAGATCAAATTATTGAAAATAAATTAAATTAATGTGCTGTCAGGTAGCCACTTAAAAATTCTTTATTAATTCAAGCATCCGTGAAATTCGTCAAATTTCTATTCGTGACAGTTTTATGCAAACACTGCATCAACAGTCTTGGTCTTCTAATTCTAATTCAAGGGTGAGATTTTCTCTCATAATTATTGCCCTTATCATGACCAATAAGTCGATAATTTTGTCTATCTTAATTTTTGAAAATTTCTAAATCATATTATGCTTTACTTACGCTTTATCTTTACTATAAAAAAAAAATGGTTTTTTCCTATTTTTATAGTTTTTTAAAGATTTTAAGAAATTATAATTTCAGGTAGAAAATAATCATAGAAGAGAATCTAATTATTCTCACAGTCCCAGTTGGTTTTTTGTCAATATCTTTTCGTTTTAAGTTTTTTTATTTCATTCAATTGGTTTTATTAGTAGAAAAAGTCTAAAATAGTTTCTAAAATGATTTAAAATTCATTTATTGAATATTTAAATGCTGCTATGATTTTTTGGAAGTATACTGAAGATATATTGTCAAGCTTTAAATTTTTTTACTGATAATACAGGTACATCGCATGGTAATCTTTCTAGACGGATGAATCAAGATGCTGATGATACGCTGCACCAAAATTTAGAGGTTTGTATAAAGTTTTATTAATATTAACTATATTAATATGTAAAAAATTCGCTAAAATAATTTTTTGCCAAACAATTAAATCACTTTGATTATTGAAAAATTATTTCTATAAAAAATTCTGTTCTATTTGTTTTCAGAAATTTTTAATTTTTTAAATTCTATTTTCATATTGACATTTCCGACAGCAGTGGCGATGAAATTTTTGTGTATGAACCAAAAAATATTTCACCAGGCCTGAGGCTACGCAAGGTTGTTCTATTGTGAATTAGAAAATTTGTATTGATTCTTTCTAATCCTTTTATTTATTCTATTTATTCATTTAAAAAAAGACCAAGTAAATCATGTAGCCATGTACTTGAATTTTTGAAAAAAAAATATATATATATATAGTATAATAATATAGAAATGGCTTGATAACATTTAAGTAATATAAATTAAATATAATGTAAATAAACATTATTATTATAACATAATAATAATATTATAATATTATGATATGATTAAAATTATTGTAATATGAACATTATTTATTTAATTTAGTTTTCCTTTTAAATCTTATTTATTCCAATAATTCATGGTACGAAAAGTTACAACTTTTAGCTATGCTTCAAATCGTAAATTGAATTTAAATTCTTGCGGAAATTTGCATTTAAATTCATGCTACTTGATACAAACCATTTTAATCATACAGCCGCATTTTTTACGTTGATATCAAATCCTCCTTAATCTATTAAATTTTTTTTTTTTAATAGTCCTCACCATTACTGGTTAAACTCGCTCCACTGGCTTGTCGCATTGGACAAATATGCCAAGGAGTCTCTTGGTGATAGAAGTACAGGTGAATCGCCAGCATCATCCGGATTTTTGTATAGGTTTACTCCTGAGGGAATCGAATCTCAGCATCGGCGCTCCCAATTGAGCAACAACTCACTGAGTCATTCCCCATAAATCCCCATAAATGTCAAAGAGCAGTTGGCAGTAAAAGTACATCAAAATATTAAAAGTATATCAAATTTTATTCAAGCCTAAAATATTCATTATTTGTTAATTAATTTATTAAATGAAGTCTTAAAAGAAATGAAGCCATATAGTTTCAATTTTATATTAATTATAATGCTTGGTATAGAATGAATCATTGGGTTGTTGCTCAGTTCGGAGAGCCAATACTGAGGTTCTACTTCACGCAGGAATAAATCTGCCTAAAAATCCGAGTGATGCTGGTGGTTTTGATGTACTTTTACCGCCAACTACTCTTTGATATTTGTTTAGTGTGATAAGGAAGCGGAGCAAGCCTAAGCAGTAATGGTGTGGGCTCTTAAAAAAACACCAGGATTGGGATGTGGGAAATGTTAATGAATTTATTCGGTTTATTTCATCTTGATGAATAACAAAGTGTACAGAAGACGAATGCGAATCGTTTTGTACATTGGAAGAACAAGCAGGAAAATTTCCCTTTTATTTTTAAATGATCCAAACGTAAAGTCCATTTCTAGCACCTTTTTGCTGTTGATCGTTTGTGATAATAATATGAAATTTCATTCAAGCCTAAGATATTCATTATTTGTTAATTTTAGTTGAAAGAAAAAAACTGTGAAATTAAACATAATTCATCAAGCGATATACTGATTTTGGATTCAGAAAATGAAAATAATGGTAATCCAGATGATTGCTTTATTTTTACATGCTGAGAATTTAATATTTTATCTATATAATTTTTTTATAATTTATAATTTTAATCATACTTGATATTTCTTTTCCCAGGTGAAATTTACGAAAAATTTTCGGTTTTTCCAGTGTTTCCAGTCTTTATTGGTAAGATTAGTATTTATGGAACCATTTCTTCATTAAGCTTCTATTTGATTTCTATTTTTAACTTTTTTTGGAAGATGGAGAAATATTTATTTATTTGCGATGAATTTTAAAGATATTTAAGGTGCGCGGTCAAATGACGTGGTGATTGTGGATGATCAGATAAGTTCAGGCGATGTTACAGATTCAGAAAATCTAAATTCTTTTGAAACAATAGATATTGAAGATCAACCTAATTCGAGTGAATTAGCCGTGGAAGGACCTTCTCTAGGAGAGGAAGTTCGTAACTTTTTTTATAAGAAAGCTCTTGTAATTGCAGTCAAAAATGGCTTAATGTTTTTTTCAGTGTTATTGCTGAGCTTGCATATTGAGGTCAATTTGTGTTGAGTAAATATACGCTCCCTTTAATTATAAAACACTTTTTGTTTAATTCTCTCCAATTTCAAAGGATATTTTAGATATATGCAGTGAACTATAGCGAAATCAAAATTTCTAATTTTCACTAAATAGCTTTTTTATTTCAGCCAAATGGATAATAATAATATGATTATTAATAATAATGTGATTAATAATAATAATATGATTATTAATAATATTTTGTAACATGTCTATAATATAATAATATATTATAATAACAATATGTGCTTGTCATTAATGCTTTTAGTTGCTTGTTTTGAATATATTGCCTCCTCGACGAAACTGCCCGACCACTGATTATCGTGAAACTAATTTGTCAGTAAATTTAGCAAATTCTGATGCGATAGGAGACACTGGGCCGATCAATAATCCTATGACAGCTGGTACGGTATTATCACTGTTTTTTTTGAACCATGTTGATTCAGATTTGTCACACAGTTTCAAGTGATTTTTGCCTTCGCTTCGTCTTAGATTTCAAAAATTGAAAAATTCCTTTCAAGGTAGTAAATCAGCAAGTCGAAAACGTCGTTTGGGCTACTTGGATTTGGAAGAAAATTGCTTTTCAAGCGGTGGTTAGTGAATTTGCGAATTTTCAGCGATTTATTTTTTTCATTTTTTTGTGTCTCTTTTTCATACTTTTCTATATTCAGGAAGCGGAAGTAGAAAATTCTATAAGAAAAGTCGATCTGACGAATGATTATGATCTGACGAACAATTATGAGAAATGGAAACTCAGCTATTCTTTCCATTAATTTTTAAGCGGTGCTCCATCAACAGCGGGTATAACAATTTTGAGTTAAAAATGCAAAAAATAGACGAAAAGAAACGATTAATGATTAAATAGTCGCAGTCATGCAATAATACCGTATAATTTGAATTTTCATGTCATATCATTTTTTTTCATCATTTTTGAGTTGCAATTTGCTTTTATGCTTCCATTTTTATAAAAATTCTTTTCTATTCTTTTGATTCCTTTAATAATAAAATTAAATTTTGCTATATTTTATTATTTTTTCGGCTGACAAGCTCATTATGAAATCATTTTCATTTCATCAATTCATTTTAAATGCATTCATTATTTTTCTGTGGATTCGTTTTGGGTTTGCTGTATGCATTTGCAAATTCAATTCCATAATAAAATTTAAATCATTCTTGTATTTTTCATTCATATTTCTTCACTTTTAGTTTTCAAATCGAATAAAAATGAGACATGAAAACGAATTAATAATTTCACCTTAGTTTTATTAAAATTAAAACTTATCAAAAATGAATTTCCGCTTTACGGATAAGCGGAAATACTTAAAATTTTCGCTGACAGAAAAACTGTTCAATTTATTTTGCACTTGGAGCAAATATCTAAATAATGGGTGAGCATAATTGTATAGAAGAAGCAATTTAAACGTAAAGTAATGCAAAACTGATAGAATTGATGAAGATGATTACATGCACCTGAATTCGAAACTGCCCCTTACTTTATGAAAGCAGCAATTTTTCATTTTCCGGCCTGTCGGAGAATGCTATTGGCTATTATGCCTGTGAAAATCGCCAAATGGTAAGCCATATCGAACTGAAATCGTTAGAAATTTCTCTTGAGGACAGAAATAGACGTTTTCTCGTCTAATGTTGCACCATTCATCTATTGGACTTCTTTTCAGTTTTTTTCAGTTTTACATGGTGATTATCTTTTGGCATTACGAATTAAATTCAGCTCATTAATCTATTTCTTTTCTTTGTATCTATTTCCATCCTCGAAATTTGTATTATTGGAGTGATGAAGAAATTGTCTTACTTGACTCATGGAAGCTTACCAGCAATAAATTTTAGCAATATTCAGCAATGTTTCCGGCAGTGAAGGAACTTCCGCTCAGAAAATTTGCATTTCTCGATCTTTCATGCACCGAATATGAATCCAACAAAGCATACTTTATAATAGTCTATAATGGTCGAAACATTGCGGGGAAAGCCTGGAATAAATGAAAATCGTAAAATGTGCATTTGACCTTTGACAATCCGATTTCTATTATTGATTTCACGAGTAAGCAAAGCGAAATGCCATCAGTTGAAAGTGAATGGTTTCCATCTCTAATCTCTCTTAAATATTATTATTGTGTTAAATATATGATTTCTAGATCGCGAACGATTTATAATGTAAATTTGTTGTTTTTCTTCATATAATTATTTTGTTATAATAAAAGGATAAACTGTTTTTAACTAATAATCGGAAAACCTATTTTAGTTATTCGAATTACGACGAGAGTAAACGAGCGATTAAGACGAAATTCGCAACGATCTTTTTGAAGTTCTGTGCTATGCAAAAAAATTTTGAAAAGAAAAGTGAACTGGAACCATTAAGTGATGAAGCATTACCAGGTCCAAGTGCAATTAAACAGTCGCCACGAGGTTCGCGAAGATCGATTCAGCGAAGAAAGGAAATTTTCGGATGTAGCCCCTCGCAAAATTTATTCTTATCATATATGCGACCGGATTTGTCATCTTATTTATCACCGCAATTATCACCTCCTGAACCGTCTCATACACGGCAACATGTTTCGCCTCAACTGACCTCAAGACAATTTCCAAAAAAGTCTTCGCCTTCCACGCCCAGAACCATGAATATTCTGAGGGTAAATATTTTCTTTAAACTTATGGGTTCGATTATTTCCTTTCCTGATTAACTTGGTTATTTCATTTTTTGCTCTTTTTTTCTTTATACTGAACAGTGGTCTCCTTTTCAGTATCTTCAGTACATTCCTACAGTTCAACAAATGCCAGTTGAAGATATTTTATGCATTCCTACTAATGGCGCTGTTAACGATCCCGATGGAGTTTCTCAGACATTTATGGCTAGTTCCGAGGCTAGAGAGCCTGAAAAAAGGTTCCCTGGACCAGCAAAAAAATTATCACTTCAACTTTTCTCGAATCCTAATGTTGTGTATCTTCCACCTGCACCGCCTTACCTAGATCGTCCGAGATCTCGAAGGTACGAGAAATACAAAGCAAACCATTCGCACCAGCGATCAGTTTCTATTATGGAGCATCTTGCAGACAAAATGACTTCAGCAACGCCCCAGCAAGCAATCATGAGAGAAGCACTTTACAAAGCCGCTGAAAATGACGAAAGGTTTCTTCTCATAGAATTATTTCCGTTGATAAATAGTCATAATTATTCAACAAAGAAAACTCCATGTACTAAAATGTCCACAATTTCACTGTTGGCTTCAAGTTTTAAACCTGGGAGTACCATTTCTTTTTGGAATTTTATTAATAATGATAAATTTAGAGCACTAAGGGCACCTGAAGTGGCGGAACAAATCATCCGAGAAATAAGGGTTAAGCGAGCATTATCCGAGAATGCAAATCCGCTTGATCGTTATGATCCTTTAAGAATTCCAACGAGGTTACGCAAGCAATGAAAAATTCCTATTTCCAATTTCTATATCAAATTTATTTCAAAGCTAATCATTTACATGAAAAATTTTATTCCTTTCTCTAGTACCTAATTGGGTTAACTATACTGGCTACTGGGATGAGCCAGAGAGGAAATAATATGAATCTACATAACCCAGATTTACTTTTTGTTAAACACACCTACTGTTATGATCTCAGTTCATTGCATCTCGAAAACCTTTATTTTGTGTGAAATATAAATGAAAAATAAACTTTTATAAGAGTTCGATTTACTATTCCTTTAATTAAAAAATGCGAACGAAACTGGTTGACATCTGGTTCGATAGAACTCTCAATAAATAACACTTCCATTCCTCGAATATTACAGAGTATACTTTCTTGATTTATGCTTTGTAGGTAAAAGGTGGTTAACATTCATCAATTAGTTAGTTTTGCTGACTGTTAGTACGATTAGAAATTTTTTCCGTGGAATCATTTGTCGATAGAAGTGCAAGTAGATCGCCATCCGGAGTTATTATGATGGGATTTAGGTTCATCCCTGTCGAACTCAGAATCGAACTCTTGCCCCTCAACATGATCTGATCCACTGTCCACTTGGCTACCGTGTCACTTTTAGCAAATAGCTAGACCTTTTTTGATTTGCAAATTCCTAATTTAAATCGATTTAAAATGGTTCAAAAAAACTTTAAAAGTTATTTTAAAACTTTAAATAGTGGGTCATACTTACAACATCTGAATATACAGAAATAGCTATTTGGCGATTTTGTTGCGTATTATATTCTTTGTTTTCTTAGCTCTTTTTCCACATAATTATAAAATAATCCAAAAATTATAAATAAAAAATATCTAGTGCCGTAGAATATGAGCACTTATTCGGTTGAAAAGCTATAAAATCATTCGAAAATAATTTCAAAACAAATCTGTCAAATTTGTCAAATATCGATAGAAATAAATAAACCATAAGTGTGGAATAATATATAAACTAAAGCGAACTTATGGTACGATTTTATGCGTTGATATTTGTCACTGAAACACAATAAATTGACTGACCCCGATACATTCCGTAGATCTGATTCTCCATATTTTTCGTAATATATGAGTTCAGCATTCATTGTAATGGTCCATATCAATGGTCCATAGTATCAATATGCTATTCACCTGGCATTAGAGATTTCATTGATTGATTCGCTAGCATTTATAGTTACGGAGAAGGATTTGAAGACAGTGTTAAGAGAGTAAAACGACGCAATATGCGCTAGTTTTTCGAAAACTTATTCAAAAATATATATAAATACATGTAAATGTCGATTTTCCGGCTGCAACATTCGCACTAAGTCATTTTAAGAACCTTTGGATATTCATAAAAACAATACTACTAATTGCCCAACCGTTCTGGTCCCATTATAGATCCTTAGTGCCATTTCAAATTCCCTCCTTGGCTCTTAATAAAACCTCTTAAAATCCGATCAAATCGCGTTAAAAGATTTGTCTTCATTCGCCTTCGTTTCTTTTGTAATCTCTTTTTCCCTAAAAAAGCATTTTTCTTTAATTTTCACTTATTTTGCTACTTATACTGCAATTTCCTTTTTAATTTTAATCTGCCTTGTCGATTGAAATTTTATAACTTTTTGTAATTTCTCTCACTGGGCCGCAAATGCTAGGCGAGCAGTGTTCAAAGGTATATTTAGGAATTTAGCGGGGTTTGGGAAACAGTTGGTACTGAATATGGTACTGAACAAACCAAACATTCCAGTGAAATATTACGTGTTTTCATTTATTTAATATATTTGATTCCATTTATCATACTTATCGTATTTTCATGAAGTGAAGTGAAAATTCATCCAAAATATAGAATATTTTAAATTTTTAAACTATGGTATTATTAATATAAAAGAGTTTCTTCGAAAGTCAATCAACAATTTCGATAGTTTCATAGAAGCGCGAAAATTCGAATTTAATTTATTTGGTTCCCTAGTTCTTCAACGAACAAAATTTATTTCATTATTTTTTATTATAAATCAAATTTCACCCACAAAAAGTGATCAAAAATAAAATTATTGAGGAAATTAGCGCTAAATTATAAGCTAAAATTTTTGGCGTTCCATACAGTCGAATTCTGAACTAAGTTGTTAAATGCGTTTTATTTTTAATTTGCCTGTTGTTTATCTTACTAATGGATTAAAAGAATGGGCTCTTTAGGCTTTTGCCATGTGTGATTTCATGAATCTTGCATAGATTATATGTTGATTTTTTATATTATATAGTGAAAATATTTGTATTAAATTATCAGGAAAAGTTGGGAATTGAAGGGTTGATAATTTGTGGATTTTTTTAAAGAGCCCTCACCACTAGCGGTTAAACTCGCTCCGCTGGCTTGTCGCATTGGGCAAATATGCCAGGGAGTCCCTTGGCGATAGAAGTATAGGAGTGGCCAGCACCACCCGGATTTTTGGATAGGCTTATTTATCCTATCCCCCAGGATTTGTGGAATTAAAAGTTTGCTGACAAATAAAACAACTGAAAATGATCCTAATACCTGCTTGCATGGTCTTTCACGTGATTATACATAGATCCAGAAATTTATGATTTCTTTTCACTTATTATAGTATTAGGGGATAGAATGGCTCAGTGGGTCTTTTCACTTATTATAGTATTAGGGGATAGAATGGCTCAATTCTAAGTGCCGATACTGAGGTTCTATTCCCAGCAGGAGAAACCTGTCTCTCGCTTCTATCGCCAAGCAATTCCCTGGCATATTTCAGTTCGACAAGCCAGCAGAACAAGTTTGACCAGTAATGGTCAGGACTCTTTAAAAAAAATTGTGTTACACTTATTAATATATATGAAGATTGGTAAAACAGTTCAAAACTATACAAATATAAAATTTGGATATACTTAGGAATTTATATATGATTGAGCTAGTATGCACCATTTTTGATTGAGCTGGCTCTTTTTTGTGAAAATATAGGTGAATTACCAGTAAAACCTACGTTTTTTAATGTTAGGTTTGCTCAGTCTGTGATAGGGGTCAAATCATTCAAGATAATCTAAACAAAAACCACTCAGTTATTTCAGCCTCCTTGAACCGAATCCATTCCAGTTGAACAACTTCAACTGAATAGATTGGTATTGGTATTGGTATAGATTGGTAATTGGTATTGGTATTGCCATTACTTTGGAATTTTCGCAGTTGAATTTTTCCTAAGCCTTTCAATGATAGGTTTTCATATACCAGGATCAAGGAATGGATCCTCATGCTCAATGCAGATTAAGGCAATTTTCATTCGATTATCCATTCTCCAATGACTTATGTTGAATTGCATTAAAATTATGAATTCAGGATATGGATGAAAAAACGTCTTTAAAAGGTGATAAGTATCAAGTAATCGCATTGTGTGCGCTAAAATGTTTAGAATACAAAACAGAAATAAATTCTGGGGAAAAATTATCGTCACTATTCGAGGAACTTGAAAAAGTTAAACATGGAATTATTGCACGCAATCCTTCATTTAGCTCGCACATTGTTTTTATCGTAAGTTTAGATTTAGATTTTTATTGAATTTTCCTCCAGAATTCCGTTAAGTTTATTAATCGTCAGAAGGAAATAAAATAGTTAAATTTTTTCAAAATTTTTTTAAAATTAATTTTAGACTGAATTATCGAATTTTTTCGCCGAAAATCTAAATTCTGGAAATAATATTACTTTTTTTAAGCGACAAAAAACTTTTTAAAAGCCATTTCATTAATGGATGGATAAATATTGGTTAACAATTCAAATTTGGGGAAAAATCCTGGATAGATATTGGTTGAATTAGAGTTTAAGGCGAATGAATTCAAGAACAGTAATAAACCCAGCTGCTTAATATTATCGAATATATTTTAGGATACAGCAGTTCATTTTCTTCGTAATGAAGGCCGTTTTGAAATCTCGAAATCATTTCACTCACTTCAGCCACTTTGTCACTTTTCAAAAATGGATTCGGGAATTAATAAAACAGTTTCATTTAGCAAACAATCAGTTCCAACAGCTGCCACAATTCCGCAGCAATTTTCTGATATTCAAGAAAAAGAAACTATTAATACAATCGAAAAAAGTCGAAACGGAAGGGCATGTCCAAAAAAATTCCTGAAGCCAAGGTATAAATGTTTCTTGATTTATCTAATATTGAGAGAATATATGACCTATCTAATCTCCGGTTATCAACCTTATTGCTAAATATTATTAAATGTATATATCTTAGAAAGTAGTTCCTCTAGGAATGAGAATGGAAACAAATTTAATTAGAAAAACCTATAAATTCAGATATTTAAGAAGAGCAATTAAAAAAATAAAATAATAAGATAATAAATAATAAAAAAATTATCGCATTTTTAATCGGGTATAAGTAAATTGAATTCGTTCTCCTATATAGGACCTCTTCGCCGAAGGAGTAGTAGAAATGGTAAGGAATGGTAGGAGTGGTAAATACAGGTTCTCACCATCATCTGTGCTTTCCTTTGAATGATAAATTTATTCTCGCCTAGAGGCAGAAAAGTAGAAATCAAATCATGGTACTTGATCTTAGTCGAAACAACATTCCTGCCTTTAATGCAGTAGGATAGCTTAGTGAACTTAAAGGATTAAAATTTCTCTTTGATTTTGCAAATATCTCCAAAAGTAAATTTTTTGTAGTGGATTCCATCAAATTTTTTTCTAATCTTTTTAAGTTACGATTTTGAACCAACAAGATCGTTTGAATCAAAAATGCACGGGGATGATGATTGCAACTGGCCAATTCTATTCGATAATATGTATGAGGAATCCGGCACAACAATTAATCCTTCTTATTCAGTCTTTCAGTGCTTATTGGTTGATTTTCTTCCACGACACTTTTCAACGATAAATTTTTCCAAAATTAATCTCTTTATAAGAAATTTTAGCATAAAATCAAAATCTTAATTTTGATAAAACGATCGATAGCAGTATATTTTGCCTTATTTTTCACTGAACTTAATGATTTACTTACAGGCTGCATTGGTATACTGTAGACTCACTGGTCAACGTTTTATGATCGATATAAAATTTGAACCGGTTGAATTTTCTGATAAACCGCGAACCTGTTTAGTCAATGAAATGAGAAATTTCAATGATGAATATGTTGAGCCAATGCGACAGAATAGAGAATACAACGATGTTATTGAAGCATATAAAAAAAAAATAGAAGCCCTTGACTGTGAAAATTTCAAAAGTATGGAAAGTCCGAAAAATTCTGAAATCGAAAGTGAAAATAAAGAAGGTAGAGTTGACATGTTTGACTCACGAGAGCTTATCTTTGACAAGGAGGTGATGGCTAATATTGCCTCTCAACTTAATGCTATCCATGCTGAATTTGCTGGTCGACCTCCTCCAGAATCCGTTTCGAGCCATTGTTGGCGCTCAAAAATACCGAAATGTCCCGAAATTCTGAAAAATTATAAAAGTTCAGAAAAGGATAGAGAAGATACAGTTGATACCACTGACTTACGAGAGCTTATCTTTAACAAGGAGGTAATGGCTAAGATTGCCGCTCAGCTCAATGCTATCCATGCCGAATTTGCTGGTCAGTTTCCTCCTGAACCTTCCTGTTCGACGTGTCGTTGCTGCGTAGAGAATATATCTGAACCGTCAGTTTTTAGCGAATGGAGCGAAAATAGAAGAATAATCGAAGGTAAGAAATTCCAGGAGCGTATGGCAAATCCATTAAGGTGAGCAAAATTTCATTATTCTTTAGCCTTGCTCTCATAATAATGATTTGGTTAAAAAGCCTGTTTCTCATATAGATTCAATCCAGTATTTTACTGGATGAGAAGCTTTTTGCCGATTCAATTTCATTGCTTATTTAATTAATTCTACGAAACTTTCTAGAACTGAAAAGCCGAACAAAGTTTAAAAATTCCGCTAGATTTGACTTTCGACTGTTTCTCCTTTTTTTAAAAAAAATTACTTTTTAACTTAAGTTGGAGTAAGGTAAAGCCATTTCCACTGCCCAAAACGTTATCTTCTTTTCTATTCTGGCAAGCGCGACAATTAGATAAAATTGCGTTGTGCAAATTTGTACCAAAACTGTCGGGGAAATGTGAAATAAAAAAATTTGTTGATCTTGTTCACAAAGAAGATATCAAGAAGTTTTCAAGAAGTTCGGAATCATTTTCTACTATTTATATGACTATGTTGGTATGATTTCCCGTTCTTTTCTATAGTTAAGTAAATAAGATTTATTCCAATCTCAAGTGATTTCACAACTATTCGAACGAAATGATCGAAAACTATTCGAGCTGCTGAAATTATTGCAAATATTTGAAAATAAAAGTGGAACAATAGCTGAATTTTAAAATGTTACAACCCTTGTAAATATAATAGATTAGATTCGGTTGTGCGACCTTGAAAGGGCTAAACATATCATTTGAAAAGCCTGGGTTGTGCTGGCCACCCATACTTCTGTCTCCTTTTTATTAAACCTTTTATTCAAATTTGAATGTTTAAACTTTTAATATTTTATGCCGCTTGCATTCATTGCGCTCTAAATGAGAAAAAATTCAACACCGCTATATCTTTTCGTCCAATAAATAAATCGTGGAAAGCTCAAAATAAACCGCCACAATCGGATGCAATTTTTAGTCCAAATCAAAATAATTCTAGTCCTCGTGGCACTGATACAACTGGAAATGTTTCTTCAAGTCAAGCGAGTACAAAGGAGTAAGTTTTTTAAGAAATTTGCACAGGTCATCTTAAAAAAATTCAAAGCTATTCTTTCTTTCAATTAAGAAGAAAAAAACTTTTTCATAGGGAAGTAAACTGGATTTAGATGAATTTTTTTAAAAGAGTTTTCATCATTACTGGCTAAACTCGTTCCGCTGGCTTGTCGCATTGGACAAATATGCCTGGGAATCCCTTGGCGATAGAAATACAGGTGAATCGCCAGTATCGCCTGGATTTTTGGACAGGTTCTCTCCTGCAGGGAATCTCAGTATCGGTGCTTCGAATTGAGCAACAACTCACTAAGCCATCCTATTCTCAGTTTAGATGAAGTGGTTAATACAAATCCTTTCTGAGTAGACTTATTTCGCTGACTTTTGTTATGGTGAGGTAATTTCGTCAGAAATAGGATACAAATAGGTTTGCAGTACCATGTGGATTTTTTAATCATACAAACTGAAGGCTTCTTTCCCAGTAAGATAATCTGCTATCTTTATTCTGCTATCTTTGTACTAAAATATATAAGAAAAGATGAATTAAAATTTGCTTAATTTTAAGAATATTTAGCATAATTCCTAACCGACCAGTTAATAATCTACCAGAATTACTTGACTGGAAAGATAAACAAGATGCACTGCTAAAAATTATTCAAAACCGCATGCAAGAAAAATCACTAACTCAGCATGGGCTATCAACGCACTATCATGCACCTGATTTGGATGAAAATGTGAAAAGTCCATGGGATATGCAAAATTCGCTTGATCAAGTGGAAAAACCACTAAGTGCGACTGAAATCGTTCAACTTATGAAAGCGGATGTACCATTCCTACTCGTTTCTCAATCATTCGCTTATTTGACAACATACAATGCTTTAATTGTGAGCTGGTTTTATTTTTTTTGTTCTATCTATTAGTTATAATAGGCAAATTATTAATTAACTTCTTTTGCCATAGATTAGCCAAAATTGTTTAAATTTTCATTCAATTTTTTTTGAAAGAATTAAAAAAAGTTTTATTATTAATTATTACTAATTTTATTATTAGTTTTTTATTACTAAATTATTTTTTTATAATTTCTAATTTAAATTCTATTTATAAATTTTCTATTTACAAATTTTACTTATAAATTCTAATTCCAATTTTAATCAACTAACTGCTGAAATGGTCTTGAAGGATTCAGCTTTGTTTTACGGAAATTCTGGGCAAAAATTAAGGACAGTTATATCTTTAAAATTATTGGCTGATGGTCTCGCTCGAGAGCAATCAAAAGATTTTTCATCATTTGCTGACCAAGATTCATTTGATATATATGATGAGAGCGAATGTGAGATATATCGTGACAAAGAATTATGCAAACAGTATAACGAAGATCCGAGTGGAAGCACATCGAAAAGCATGGCAAACTGCATGACGAGCAGACCAGTGAGCTATGTGAGTTAAATTTCTTAAATTTCTCCTTCATAATAGATTTCGTAATTTATAATTTATAACGAAATGAATTTTATGGCGAACAGATCTTATATCTTAGGCAGTATTAATGCCATGAAAATTAATCGCGATAGTAATAATTAATTGTAATAAAATGTGTTATTCTACGACTGTTTTCATGGCCTCCAAAATTTTCAGCTCTTTTCATAAATCATTGTTATTTGAAACGAAAATATCTGTGACGACTCACTCCGAAATCAACGTGATTTGAAATCGCAATTGAAGCATAAATGCGATTTTATTAATGAAATTTTAAAAGACATCTATATTAACAAATTTTAAAAAAGCAAGAAAATCTCAAATGAAATCCGAAGAATTTTAGCCAAAGCGTAGCATTAACATATTTTAGAATGAAACGTTCGAAGATGCAAATGAACATAAGGAGAATATTGTTTGATTTTTTCGTAACAGCTCAGTCACTTCACTTCTCCTCCTTCGACTTGGAAGCATTTACCGGAACTCCTGAAACTGCCTCAGCCATTCATTTCGTCTAATCTAAAGGCATTTGCCGCATCTCCTGAAATGAAGCTTTTCTCGTCTATAGCGTTGACTTTTTTCTTCTAATTGTCGTTTTACTTGAATTTCTTATAAAATTTTTTTCTAACCTTTATTTCAATGAAAGAAAACAAATGCATTCATGGAATTTCATGGGGACTTCAGCGAATTTTTTAAAAATAATTCTTTAAAATTATTTTCAACGAATTTTATTATATTATTGAAAATCAGTTTTATAGAGAAATTTTTAAATAAATTTTGCATTTTTTATTCGATTTTTTTTGCTTTTACATTTTAAAAGAATTAAATTTCTAATTACAATGAAAATAGAGAAAATAAGGCGAAGTGCAATAGCAACAGAACAGAATAAAATCGCATGTGCTAAAAGTGATAAAAATAATCAGCGATGACTTACTGGGCGAACTTTTGTAGACGAATTATTAAATAAATGCTCGCCGTTTCTCGTTAAACTCCTTCCTATCCGCTGTTACTAATTAGGACCAGAAATTTTTACAACAGGGAATGGGACCTGTGATAGTGGACGCGGATCCAGTCGACCATACCACCCGTCCCTTTTCCTCAATTGAAGCAAATTAATTTAAAAGCCGCAAGAATAAAAGTGCATCACTAAAGTGCAACTCGTCCTCGCAAACAACCTGACGTCCCTCGAGCTCACGCCAAAGGTCAAGGCGAATACACGTTCATAGGCAAACAACTTGACCTCCAACATATCTGATTTGTTCGTTTGATTTGCAGTTTTCTTCTTTTCATATCCTTTTTTCTCGTTGTCCATATTCGTTTCTCTAATTTTTTGACTCTCATAATTCCCTTGTTCTATATTAATTGTCTAAACGCATGCCATTCGGAAATTCTCGGCAATTCTACAATCAGCTGATCACATATGTGTTATGTGGCTGTTTTTCGTTTCCTTGTTCCACAATTTTTTGCATTTTCATTTGGCAAAGGGGGAACCGAGGATGGCGGGGAGGGAGGTGTTTCTAGTGGAATTGCGAGCTGAGGGGGTATATTGAGGATGCTTTACCGACGAGTGAGGATGGGGAGCAAGTGAGGAAATTGGGAGGATCTCCAGTAAATTAAGAAATTAACGTTCTAGTAATTTCATGGAAAGAGAGGAAAATACATGAAATATTTCGCGAATCATCGGGGTTTCTTCTTTGTCGAATATATTTTTTGTAAAAAAAAAGAATAACGGAAAGATTTTATTTCTCACAACTTGTAGTTTTTGTTTTCGCACTAATAGAGGAAGTATTAATTTTACGTCAATTCGTATATTAACTGATGGTTTTTATTTAGATTTCTTTCATCTTAAATCAGTTTTATCAGTTTCATTTAGAGGAAGGGAGGAAAGGAGTGAAGCACCGTTCTGTGGTGAATTGCGGCCCCAATAGGAGCCGCGGCGTCGTATAATTGTGTTTATATAAAGCGCGTGACGTATGCCTCGCTCTATGATGTTTGTTGTGTCGCCGTTCATTAACGAAAGGGTTAGGGGTCAAGAGTGAAGAGTTTTTCTTGATTTCGTGGTGGCACCAGCCAGATATCTGGGAAATACTAACGGTGGACTTAGAGTCGAAATGTGTAAAAGAGGATTTGCTTTTTTCGCTGTGGCAAGTTCAAGATCCTTATCTGAAATTTTTTTGTAGATCATCAAGAGGTTATGCAGTGGGCATATAAAGAAAGCAATTCGTTCGAGAAACGTCGCGCTGAAGGTGAAAAAATTTGCAAACGGCATCCTGATAGGGTCCCGGTGAATTTTTTATTATTACTTTTCATGTTGTTTTTTTAAGAAGAAGCTCGGATATATACTTCTTTCATTGTTTTCACTTATGATTATATAAAACCATTGAACGTACCGCGAAAGAAGAGAAATAAAGGGAATTGAGGGATATGAAAGGATTGAGGTATTGAGTAGCAGCGGATTAAAGGTGATTGAGAGAAATAAGAAAGCAAAAAGGAGTTAGAAGAGAACAAGAAAGGCAGTGTTGACGCAAGCAAAAAATCTCTTATTATGTTTTGGGTCAGTTTTGCTGTAAAACATAGGTTAAACTGTTTAAGGTCCTTGGGCCATTATCATTTCACATTTCAGGTTCTCTGAGGCAGTGATAAGTCAGCCAGTTATTATAACTGAATGCGTTTAATATTCATGCCTATGGTGGTTTTAGCTCAATAAATAATTATTCACCAAAAAATTAAAATGAAAATCATTCTAATTAAAATTAAAATTTTTATAATTAAAATTTGTTTTTCAGAATTATATTATAGTCAATTTATCACAAAAATTTGCACTGAAAAAATACGAAAAATTTTAAATAAAAATTTAGAAATTGATGTTATAAGTTTGTTTCATTTTTTTTGAAATTAAAATTTATTATTTATTTATTTATTAAAGGTTAACAGAGGACAATATTTTCTAGTTACGCATTTATCAGACTTCATTGACTTGCTATTTGTAAAAATTTTCAAATTTTTTAAAATAATTTCAGTCATTTTCTAGATGAAGGTTATAAATTTAGAAAATTATTCAAAAATTTGTGATAGGTAATAGGTATGTAGAAAAAGTAAGAAATTGAATTTGACCATTTTTAATTGCTTTAAGGTAATTGTCGAAAGAGCACCAAATGCACGCATTCGAGAACTGGACAAAAAAAAATATCTGGTACCATCCGATTTGACTGTCGGACAGTTTTATTTCCTTATTCGAAAAAGGTCGCTTTTATTTAACAAACTAACATATTTAACAATCTTTTATGAAAATTCACATAATTATCATCTTTATTGCATTTTTTTGAATCAAAGTGTTTTTCAAATAAATTTTTTTTAGTTGTCTAAATTATGGCTCGAGAATATTTTCCCGCATTTGTTTTTGATGAGGAGATATTTGAGAAAAGAGGATTATTGAATTGTAGTATAGCTTTAAAATAAGGAAAATAAGAAAAAATAAGAAATTTGAATCGATTATGTTTAATATTATGTTTAAAACTTTTCGTTTGGTTGAAGTGATATATAATATTATGCAAATATTACATTAAAATTTCGTTTCTGAGGTGAAATTTTTTTCTTTTCATTTATAGGATTCACTTGAAACCGGAAGAAGCACTTTTCTTTTTCGTAAATAACGTGATTCCACAAACGATGACGACAATGGGCCAATTATATCAAGTAAAATTTTTGTTTCATTTTTTGTTCATTGTAAATTTTTGTTCATTTTTTCCACATCAAATCTTATTTGTGATTTTAATTGAAAGGAAATGGTTGAATATGGGAGGAAGAAATTGAGAAATTAATTTTTGTTTATAACAGTGTAAACGGTTTTGAGTAGTTTTGAAGAAAAAATCTTTAAAAAAAATGTTTAACTGAAGAAAAGATTGAGTTTATCCAGTTTCTGTAGATGAATTTACTCGGAACAGTTATTCGTTTTAAGTAATTGTGAATAAAATTAACCATTTCACCATTAATAGAACATTTTCACACGGCAATTTTTTCTAGAAATATCAAGAAGAAGATCATTTTCTTTATATAGCGTACAGCGATGAAAGTGTTTACGGAAGTGATCTCTGAAAAGCGTCTTCTTGCGATTGCAGCGAACGTCATGTTACGACAAAATTTTTCTTTTATAGTTTTTCATACTTTTTTTATTAATTTTTTCTTTCATTACATTTATATTACGAAATTTGGTGAATAGGAAAAAAATTTATTTGGCAAAATCTGTTTAGTACAGAAATATGGTTTCATGTTAAAATTTCTTAAATATATCATCCTTTTTTACTTAAATTATCATTAAATATCAGATGTGGGAAGAAAAGACCTTCAAAAAGACTTTGCAGACTTAAAAAGACTTAAAAAAAAGAAAAAGGAAAAAATGTTTAAAAAAAGGAAAAAAGAAAAAAGAAAAAAAGTAAAGATTTTGTCAAATCCGTTCACCAATATTCTCATAAGTTTATAATTCTCAGTAAGTTATGCTATTTTGCTAGAATTTTTGAAATATTTTCGAAAGAGTAAAATTATGCAAAAAATTTCAGAATTTTTTTGCATTTTTTGTTGAGATTCCAAATAAGAATTTCTACTTTTTATTAGACTTTCGTAATTTTGAATGAAAAAAAATTTTTGATTAATAGTGATTTTAAATTATTCATATACAGGTGCATGAAATTTATTCAAGTTTTTTTGTTCTCTGCATAAATTTTTTCGGTCAAAAAAATTTTTTTGCATTCTATGTAGTAAATAAAGTATAAATTTTAGCATTGTTTGGCTAAAGCACTTCAATTTACAGCAATCAGCGATTTGACTGGCCGATGCAATGAATGAGGTCACCAGAGAAATAGGTGAGGATACCAGAGAGAGTCGGCGCATTTCGCTTATAATGGCGGGTGCTTAATACCATAACGAGAGAAGAGATAACCAAACGATGCGAGGCTTAAAAAATTTAACTTAATTTCCCCTACGATAAATTCAACTATAGACTGGATAATGATAATGAACATCGCTTGTCGTCACTAAAAAGAGTGTACAAATCAGTCCAGAGCATAGCATCACAGACCTTGAATAAGCTGATGATGTAGTCCTTTTTCTGACAGTTATGACGAAATGGAAACAAACAACGTGTCGGCAACTGCAGCGAGACTTGGACTCAAAGTCAATTACAAGAAGCTAAAATGCTTCTTTTTGTAAATTCATTGCCGTTTGAGGGAGATCCGATTTTAAATATCTTGGATCCACTCATATCTAATGGCCAAGCAAAAGATAACACGGCAGTTAGAAATGCGTTCTTCCGGTTGACGAAACCTATGGAAACGTCGCGAAATCACCATAAAAACGAAACTCAGCATTTATGTAGCATCAGTTTATTCGATCTTGCTATATGGCCAATGAGAGTGGAAGATAAAAAGAAATTATCTGCCTTTCAACGCTCATATCTAAGACATCTTGCGGGTTCGGCGAGCGGTAAAATCACGCATGATTGCATCCACCTTCAAGTTCCATCTGATAGCATCACAGAACGTTTCCTTCGCCAGTTAAGGCACGTTTTTTGTCGCTCACCACAAGAGTTGACACTAATTTCGTTATTTGCTGAGCTTTGTGATGAGTGACGTCAAAAACGACATGGTTCAATCAGAACCTGGACTGATACGGCCAGAAAAGATTTTGAACGTATATATGTCGCCGAATGGCGAAGAGGAATTATGTAATTAAGTGTTTCATATGCGTCGCATCCGCAACACGTCTTAGAAAAACTTAAAAATCTAAGAAAAATTAAAGTTAGAAAGAAGACTAAGAAATATCCCGAATCTATGGTAGAATACATCGATAGAGGTACTAAAGATATTTTTTATCCCTGGAGAGCGGAAGATAAAAAATATCTTTCTTCCGTCCATCCCAAAACAAATATAAGCTCTCGAGAGAGAGCGTCTTTGCCATTCTTGGGCTGCGGGGGAAATTAAGAAGTGGGATGGGGAAGGATTAAAAAAGGGTCTGGGGATGGTTTGAGGAGTGGGAATGGGAAGGCGTTGGGTAGGGACGTTTTCGTTTGCGTCGTTCTTGCGTCTTTACCGAGTGCCTTTATCACCCCATTTGTTTTATGGGGACACTTGAAATTCCGCATCATTCATGATTCGTTTTTGTGTGTTGTAGATAGTATCTGTTTATAGCTGTTTATTAATAAAAGGTTTAATTACCCAAGTTTGAGGGTTCGCAACGAAATAAAAAAGAAGAGAACGCTCGCCGCAGATTTTATAATAATGTTAAAAAAAGTCCCGCGTGGCAGGAAATTTAATAAATCTATACAGAAAAAAACGGAAAATTCGTACTGCCAAGAGTTTCCGTACAGTAAAGATGGACGAGCAATATATGGATTTAGAGGATGGAAAAAAGAATGACTTCTTGGCATGCATACCAAACTTACATGATGTGGCTGCTCCGTTTAAAAACTTACTTTTACTCTTGTAGCCAGTAGAGCCAGCCTAAGCAGTGATGGCGAGAGCTGAATATTTCATAGACTTTCTGTATTTTTATATTTCAGCTATTTGATTTACAATCGGATAGCATAAATTGATGGCTTTCTGGACAAAAAATTTGATTGTTATATAATGGTAATTTGTAATATTTATTATTAATATTTGTATTTTTATGATTTACAATTATCGCAAAGCAAAGAAAGCAAAAGGCTTTTGGGTGTCGGTCCATTCCCTCTCTTGGTTCTGTGTGTGGGCATTTATCTTCACTGACATCTTCAATTATTTCTTTGGCTTTCCTTCAGCTATCTTTTTGTTGATGTTGTCGGTTTATTATCGCATGAATCTGCCGATTCATTTCTCATTAAGCCACCGATGCACCGTCCTGAACTAATTATTAACTGATTCTTCATCGGTCCTTTCGACAACAATTGTTGATATCTGCTAGTTCAGATTCAGAGCGCTTTTGCTTTTGTCGTTTCGCGGCGATGATAATTAACTAGAAATGAAGGTATGAAGGCGAAAAAATCAAGTGGCAGTGGACAAAGTTTGAAGGTGATATGGAATGAATTTTTGCTTCCAAGAATTTCAATTTCTTGCCGGATATATTTATGAATGAGAGAACTGCTTTATAGGCGTTTTTTCTTGCAAATTTTATCGTTCAATCCGTACAGCAAACAACTTCGCATAATTCTTCTTCTTCAATGATAAGGATAAACTAAATTATTTGAAGTGAAAAAATGGCTCAAGGTAGGGTTTTTTCGAGTTTTCTTAATCGTCTGCATTAATTTTCTAACTTTATTTGTCGCTTATTGAAGATGCGTGAGTTGGATATTATTTCGACTGCAGTCAAGCCATAGGTTCGATTTCGTTTTTTTCTCGACAAAAATAAATTATCATCATTTATGAATTATTTTTAAATTATTATTAAAAATAAAGTCCGAATGACTCGGTTGGCAACCAAACCTTCCCTTCAGTCCCCATGCAACCCTTTGGTGAAGGAATTTCTTTCACCTTAGTAGTTAGTGAACCTTGTTAGAAGGAATTCTTTCACACTAAATTGAGCATTTGCTTGTGTGGAATTCATGGGAAAAACTTGATCTAAATTATAAATAATCGCGCTGCCGCGAGAAGCCGACGATAACCAGAAATTGAGAGAGTGGGAAGGCGGTGGGCGGGGTAAAACCTGGAACATAGGACTGCGAGCTGACGTGGCGTGTTTCTTTTTATTTGGTGCTATTTTGTCGATCGTCGTCGTGGTGGCCTCGTTGAACGAAGCCATTTCGATAAACGAGTTATTTTCATCGAAATGTCGCATTTCAGCGATTTCGCAATATGATTAGGAATTAGCCGATTTGTCATTTATGCACAGTGATGACGTATACTAAAATGCAGCTTCCAAATAATTTGGGCAGAGCGACGCACTGACAAGCACCACAGGACGTGTCACTTCCCTGTCGCCGAACCAGTTTGCGTGTCTCACTCGTTTCTGAAGCGTTGATTTTTGATAAGTTTTCGAATTGTATTTGACCTCCGTATTGTATTTTAACTCGTATATTTTAATCGATCAACTCCTTTCAACCATTTTACACCTTTGGTAAATTCGGCCTTTCCTACTGTTAGACATTTTATGCAATTTTTCCTCATTATTTTTCGGTCTAAATTATTTTCCGATTAATATTATATTCGTATTATTTCTCGCGCTGTCGAGAAAATTTTATATTTTATTGATCAATAAAAGTAGAAATAAAATTAAGAAAAAAATTAAAAATATTTAACTCATCTTTTGCGTATTTATTCATTCATATATTCATTTTCATTCATTTGCTGATATGTCAATTGCTCGTGTGCGGAAATAAGTGTACAACGGTCTTCGAAATGTTTGATTTACGCGAAAAATCACCCGATAGTTAAATTGGAGGTTGTGTGGATGCACGCGTGGATGAGAACTGATTAGGTGTGATATGATAGAAAGAAAACGGAACTATTTCTATATTATATTCGTATACTTTTCCGATATTTTTTTGCGAGTGGAAGGGATATTTACAGGTCAGCGAAGAGTATGGTCCCTTCTAATTAGCTTAGTTGAGGTCAAGCTATATGTAAGGCCAAAGTGTTTGCAATACATTAAATTACCTTTATTTATAGTATTTTTAATATTTCAGGGAAAAATATTTATGTAAAATCATAAATTTTTCGTTTTAAATTTAAATTTTTTTTCGTTTCTTTTGATTTAACAATGTTTGTTTTTTAAGTAGAATTAAAGTAGACCTCAGTTTTTCTTCGGTGAAGGCTTTGTCTTATTTTTTTAAGATGGCGGAATTGCTAGCTGACGTCGATCTTCGTAAAGCAAATGGAACATCGATTAAAGGAAATCAAGCACTTCAGGTGACTTTAAATATTTCTTCATTGTGAATTTTTGAACTGTTGAAGTGAGATATTTGTATTATCAATCAAATTTTTGGGTATCTTAAACAGAAATAAATGAAAAAAAAGTATAATATTGCTTAATATTGCGGCGATACCTTCTCTTATAAAACTCAAGCATTTAGATTATTGCTTTCTAAACGTTGTAGCTTAATATTATTAAAAATTATTTATATTCCATAAAGGATCTTTTCACCGCATTAAAACTCATACTGAGAAATTTTCACAGTTAATCAATTGAAAACAACAACAACCATTGCATGTAAATATTTTTGGTGAAAGATGTTATTAACTTTTCAACTTCTTCAAAATAAAAATTTAATGAGGAGAACGAGATTATTTTATTACTTTGTAAAGTTTTATATCCGATATAATAAAAGAAAAATGAAAAAGAGCGTCTTCGTGTGATTACTTGTCGAATTTTCTGAAAAAATTTTAGAAGGTTAGAACGGAAATGTCGATTTAAACTATTTAAATTCATTGTATTTTCATTTGGGGTTTTCGAATTTTCATTTTTCCATGCGAAACTTGTTCTCTTTTAATTGTTAGTTCTGTCAAAAAAGTTTGATTAATTATTTTCTGGGAAATAAGAGATTCACAATATTTTAAATTGTCTTTTTTCCATCGCTCCCTAAATTTATAAAATGAATTGAAAAAAAACGATATATTCGCGTTAGCGCATGTTGTTTTCAGGGAAAGGTCGTCGCATTATATTTTTCAGCTCATTGGTGTCCACCATGCCGACAGTTCACACCTGTCCTCAAGGTTTTATTCTTTATTTTTTATTCCTTATTTTCCTTTTTTTCTTTACTTTCGAAATATTTACTTTGAATTAACAGAGAGTCCAAAATTTTTGCATGTAAATTGTTTGTTTCTGAAATATATTCATTTTTTTTGGAACTTCTGAAATTCTTAATTTTAGAAGTGATTAGCACTTTTTAGACTGGTTCTACTACTTGTTAGCATGATGAAAAATTTATCTCAGGGAGATTGGAATTTAATACAGATCCACCTTTCGCCGCAGACAGCGGATGGAACTCTTTACCGACCACTTAACTATTCTTCTTCCTTTTTCTGAAATTACTCTTTTGATTTGTGCAAATGATCAATTTTTTTCCTAAGTTTCCGAAATTCCTTGTGATTTTAAATATAGTGCTGAATTTTCAGGATTTCTATGAGGACGTTGGCGATGATGAATTTGATATAGTTTTTGTATCATTCGATCGAACCGAAGATGATCTAAAAGAATATATGGCTGAAGCTCATGGCGACTGGTATTATATTCCTTTTGGCAATAAAAAAATACAGTAAGTGATGTTTTGTTACATATGTTTTGGTTAAAAACATATTAGCTTGTTTTTAGTGATCTTAGCTAAAATCTTATGGAATTTATTATTTTTTTTTTTTATCTCTTGCCATGTAAAATAATTTCTACTAAAATTTTTGAATTTTTAAACTATTTTTTAGAGGACACCTTTCATATTCATTTATTTTTGTCAAGTCTTTTTGTGGAAATTTTTATTTTTTTTACGTGAAAAATATGATGTGTAAATATGTTCCATAGCAATTTATTGTATTCTTCTTTCTTCTTCTTCTTCTTCTAACAGCTCTCACCATTACTGCTTACGCTGGCTCCAAGAGTAAGACACTTCCAAGCAGCGCGGCATCGTCGACAGTAATAAAAGCCATTCCTTTTTCCATCGTCTAAGTCCATATACTCCTCCTATACGTTCAAAATCTTTTCTCATTGTATCAGTCCAGGTCTCGATTGGCCCACCTTGCTTTTGACGCCAACCACGGTTTAGCAAATAACGAAATATGCGTCAACTCCTGTGGTGGATGACGGAGATTGTGCCCTAACGAGCGAAGGCGGCGCTTTGTGATAACATTATATAAGTGGTATTTGAACGAAGGTGGATTCGATCGTGTGTGATTTTATCCACTAGATGAAAAACCCCTAAAATGTGCCTTATACTGAGTGGTCAAAGATAACATCTTAATATCGTCCATTCCCATTGGCCATGTCTCAGAACCATAAGTAAGATCGAATGGATCACGGCAATATAGATGCGGACTTTCGTTTTTTTCGTCAACCGGAAGAACGCATTCCCAGCTGCCGTGATCCGAGTTGTAATATCATCTTTTCCTGTCCATTTGGTATTAGAGTGGACCCAAAGTATTTGAAATTGGGCACTTCCTCAACCAGCAATAAATTTACAAGAAGAGGCATTTTATCAGCTTCTTGCACATAAGACGAAAAGTCTTTCGTTTTATTTACATTGACCCTGAGTCCGATTCTTGTTGCAGTTTCTGACACATTATTTAATATTACTTGCACTTTGTTATAACTGTCAGTAAAAAGGACTACATCATCAGCGTATTCAAGATCTATGATACGATGCATTGGACTAATTCGGACACCTCTTGAGTGCCGACAAGCAATATCCATTATCCTATCTATCGCATAGTTGAATATTGTGGGGAAAAGACGCAGCCCTGACGGACACCTATTCTTATTTCGAAGGAATCTGTCAGCTCCCCATATACAGACCTGCACCGATGTGCGCTCATAAAATGCCTTTATGAGCCTAATGATTTTCTCTGGAACACCGTCACGTTCCATCATCCTCCAAAGCGCCGCTCTATCAATTGAATCAAAGGCAGCCGCAAAGTCGATGAAACACGTGACAGTGGGTTGCAAATATTTGAAGCGATGTTTCAACATCCTTCTTAACGTGAATATCTGGTCAGCACAACCGGGCCCAAGTCTGGATCCAGCTTGATTAGGGCGCATCCTGCTGTCCCCTTCTTCCATAAGTGTGTTGAGTAGCAGGGAAGCAAAAATTTTTTCTGAGACATCTAATAGGCTGATTCCTCGATAATTGTCAGCATGTCCTATCACCTTTCTTGAGAATTGGGAGCAGAATTGCTTTGCTCCAATCATCTGGTAATATTTCTTTTTCCCATACTAGAGAGTACATTTGTTGAAGGTGCGTTATGAAGGACAATGGACAGCATTTGAAAAGCTCAGCCCGAAGACCATCTCCTAGAGTTTTGTTGGCCTTAAGCTTATGGATAACTGAAATTATTTCTTCTTCTGTTGGACGCTCGAAATTGCAAACATATGCTTCGGCAAACGTATCAGCTATATCAGAGGCAACAGATGGCGCTTCATGGTTAAGTTTGGCCTCAAAGAATTCTTTCCATCTTATGAGGCGATCCTTAATATTTTTGATTAGTACGCCATTGCTGTCTCTTACCATTTCACTGATCATTCCCGAGTTGCTTTATGAAGAAGGCAGAATAGTTTCCTATTGTCGCCTAATCGAGCCGCCGCCTCCATTCTTGAGGCCATGTCACTCCAATAGAGATTTCTGTCCGGCCTTGCCGCTTTCGTTGCAAATCTTCGAAGCACCCGGTAGTCAGGATTACCTGACATTCGTGCTTTGGCAGCTTTTTCAGACAATTGGACAGTTGCTTCCGATACCCAACTAACGCATTTCCTACTAATATGTGTAAATGGCTGATTTTCGGAGACATTCCTTTAGTTTGGATCAGTATTCATTTGCCGTTTCAGAAAAATCGTTGATATTTGTATCATTGAGATGCTTCAGTAATTCGATTTGAAATGCCCTCAGTGTCCTCGAATTTTTTAGATAGTTGAAAAAACATGGGAATGTTGTTTTCTGCGAGTTGTCAATTTTATGCGGATTTTGGCTCGAACCATAACATGGTCAGATCCATGAAGATTGTCCGTTTCAGCTCCCAGATAGGAACGACAATCTAGCACGGAACTCTTCCAACGGCGACTAACTAAGATATAATCAATTTGAAATGTTGGTTATCAGGGGAGTTCCACGTGTCTAGATGTTTTCATGATGGCAGAAGAAAGTATTAGTAACAGAAAGTTCATGTTCTTCGGCATAACGAGAAAGACGTTCCCCATTGGCACACCGGTCTCCGATGCCATATTTGCCAATTGTTGAGGTCATCGCAGCTGCATTATGACCTACGCGAGCATTCCAATCTCCCCCGATTATGATCATGTCATGTTTCGGTAGAGACTTTGTTAGCAGTTGAAGTTCCGCATAGAACTTGTCTTTATTACGGTCATCTATCGACAGAGTCGGAGCATAGATGCTCGGAGCATATGACCGAGATATTGCAGAACTTACCCTTAAAACAAGCATAGGCCATACGGTCGTTTACCGGTTTCCACTCAATCCAAGCGGAATGGGCCTTGTCAGATATGACAGTCGCTACGCCATTTCGTCCCGAGTTATTCGAAGCACTACAGTGATATAGCCAGTATCTCTGAATCAGGATTAATAATTTAATAAATTTATTTTTATTGATTTTATGATATTGTTATTTAGTATATCGGAACTATATCGAGAAAAATATATAAATATAAAATATATATTAATTCTTATTTCTTTATTCTTATTTATTTCTTCATTATATTTTTTTTCAGAGAACTTGCAAGCAAATATGGTGTTGAAGGCATTCCCGCACTAATTATTATTAAATCGAATGGTGATGTTATCACAAAGAACGGAAGAGCAGATGTTTCGGTTCTTTATTCCACTCTTTATTTTTTGTGAAACTTCGAAATTTTCGCAAAAATCATACTTGCATTCCTTAAACGAATGTGTAAAATGAAGTTGAACTATGGTCAAATGTATAGGCCATAAGATCTTAGCTGCGTGAGAAAAGAAATTATCACGTGAATAGCAGTCTTGCTCCAAATTCCGAAGAACGTTTTAGGACGTTCTATAATAATTCTTTTTCTTCCAACAGTTCTCCCCATTACTTATCAGGCTGGCTTCAAGGGCTACAAGGGTAAAACATTGCCAAGCGACGTGGTCTGATGCCATCGTCGACAGTAATAGAAGCCTTCCTTTTTCCATCGACTAAGTCCATATATTGCTGGTCCACGTATGCGTTCAAAATCTTTTCTGATCGTATCAATCCAGGTTTTGATTGGACCATGTCGTTTTTGACGTCACCCATCACAAAGCTTAGTAAGTAACGAAATATACTCCTGTAGTGGACGACGGAAAATGTGCCTTAACCAGCGAAGGTAACGCTCTGTGATAATCTTATTAACGCAAGTGGTATTTGAACGAAGGTGGATTCGATCGTGCGTGATTTTATCCACTAGGTGAAAAACCCATAAAATGTGCCTTATATATGAGTGGTCATAGGTAGATAACATCTTAATATCCTCCATTCCCATTGGCCATGTCTCAGAGCCTTATAGCAAGATCGAACGAATCACAGCTATATAGATGCGGACTTTCGTTTTTACGGTGAATTCATGACAGCTCCATAAAGATTTCGTCAATCGGAAAAACGCATTTCTAGCTGCCACAATCCGGGTTGTCTTTTGCCTGGTTATTTGGTATTAGAGTGGAGCCAAGTATTTAAAATTGGTCACCTCGTGAATTCACCAGCAATAAATTTAGAAGAGGCATTTAGAAGAGGTATAAAAAGAGGCATTTTATCAGCTTTTTACACATAAGACGAAAAGGCTTTATTTACATTGATCCTGAGTCCATTATCCAGTCTATCGCATAGTTGAATATTATGGGGGAAAGGACATAATCTTGATAGACACCAGTTCTTATTTTGAAAGAGTCTGTCAGTTCCCCATATACACAAACTTACGCCGACTTGTGCCTTTATGAGTCGAGTGATCTTCTCTGAACACTGTCGAGTTTCGTCATTCCTTCTCAACGTGAATATCTGGTCAGCGTAGGCGGGCCCCGGTCTGGATCCAGCTTGATTAGGGCGCATCCTGTCTCGTACTTCCATAAGTCTGCTGAATAAAAGGGAAGCAAAAATTTTCGCTAAAACATCTATTAGGTTGATTTCTCTATAACTGTCACAATATGTCCTATCATCTTTTTTGAGAATTAGGAGTAGAGTTGCTTTGCTCCAGTCATTTGATAATGTTTCTTTTTTCCATGCTAGAGAGTACATTTGTTAAAGGTGCGTTATGAAAGACGATGGATAACATTTGAAGAGTTCAGCACGAAGACCATCTTTTCTTATTGGTTTTAAGCTTATGGATAACGCAGATTATTTCTTCTTCTGTTGGAGGCTCGCAATTACGTATGGTTCGGCGATCGTATCAGCCATATCAGGGGCAACAGATGGCTCTTCATGGTTAATTTTGGCTTCAAAGACTTTCCATTTTATCAGGCGGTCTTAATACTCTTAACCGGCACGCTATTGCCATTACCATTTCACTTATCGTTCCTCGAGTTATAGTTGCTTTATAAAGAAGGCGGAATAGTTAATAGTTTCCTATTGTCGCTTAATCGAGCCGCCGCCTCCATTCTTGAGGCCATATCACTCCAATAGTGATTTCTGTCCCGCCGCACTGCTTTGCAAATCTTCGAAGCATCCGGTAGTCAGGATCACCTGACATTCGTGCTTTGGTAGCTTTTTCAGACAGTTGAACGGTTGCTTCCCATACCCAATTAACGCACTTCTTACTAGTATGTCCTAGCGTGAATGTGGCTGACTTTCGGAGGCATTCCTTTAGTTTGGGCCTATATTCATTTGCCGTTCCAGAAAAATCATTGATATATGTACCATTGAGATGTTTCACTGATTCGGTTTGAAATGTGCCCACTATCCCCGAATTTTTTAGTTTGAGATAGATCTGAAGGATCTTGGGGAATGTTGTTTTGCGATTCGCCAATTTTATGCGGATCTTCTGTAACATTTAGCTATGCATTATTTTATTAGATCTCAGGGAAAGTTTTCGATTCCTGTGCTCTTGGTTCTTAAATTGTCTTATGGCAATAAGAGCAGAATATGTCATATTCAAGTAGGATTTAGACTATGGCATGAGGATCCTGACCAAATTTTCTCGCTAGGAAGGGTGTCAGAACGAGCATGATATCCGAATCAGCCAACAGTATTCATGTCACTTTTATATAAAAAAGCGATACTAGAAATTATGAAATACAATAGTATTTCAGAGAAGAACATCCATCTTAAGGTATTTTACCAATGTACTCAATCTAAATCTGTGAGATAATCTATATATCTTTTCAAAATGAAAACTAAATGCAGCTGGACGGCGATTTCGAATTTGTTGAGCTGGGTTATGGACTTGTCCGTCCAGATCAGTCCGGACTATAAGGAGATTTCAAATAGATCCACTCTTATAGTAATTAGCCAAGGGATGACAAAATTTTCACCCGGACAGCCGCATAGAAATATTTTTTCATCTGGGGAATTCTGATGGAAACCCAAAATGTTTTGATTTATCTGCCTTCTCAGTGTGAAGCATCTTATATGATAGTGAAATGATATTGGCAATTATCAATATTCTTATTCTTGCCCAAATTTCATCTTATCTATTTGCTTAGCGAACAAGTGCACAAGTGAAAATGCATCCAACTTCAGCTGAATATTATCTGTATTAATAATATCCACACAATGCAGTGCTTGAGCTGGTTATTCCATTTATTTATTTACATCCATCATAGGAATTAATAAATCCTGCAAATTGCTATTCATCTAATCCATGTGGCGGTCGATGTTCTTAGAGTATATAGGCTGACACGATCTGGAGAGGTTTTGAATGCATAAGTGGCTCGTAATATATGCAATTAGATGTAATTATTTTTACAAGTTGTATCGAATAGAGAGGCATAGAACGCCTTAATCATATAGCCAGCCTAACCAGTAATGATTCGAGATAGAAGATAAATTTAAAATGATCCATCACAAATATCTATTTTTTATTCTATTTTAAGTAAATAAACAACCTCTTTTTAGCTTTTTTTAAACCTTATATTCTCGAAAATTTTTTCTTTTGAATAAGAATTTGTTGTTCGAACAATGTTTGCATTTTCTTCAAACATTTACGTGATAAGGGTTATGATAAAGGCATTAATAGTTGGCATTAATTTTCTAAATCTTTTGATGTGGTAAGATCATTAAAAAATTATAAAAATTTCTCAAGAATTCTCAAAAATAAGGAAAATTTCCTTTCAATACATTTTGCAACATATGACACGCATGTTTATTTATTTCTTTTCTCGTTGTTTTCCTTCTGCTGTCGTTAATTTTCCTGTAGGCATTATCTTTTATTGATTGAGTCGAAGTTGGAGGATTTTGGCTAAGGGAAATTTTTAAAATGTGGTTTGTCACTTTTTTTAATCACTTACACCATCTGTTTTAATTTTGTTTTTATTTTTGCTGAATTACCATCAGTATTTAAGAACTTTTTATTTTGCTATTCACATTCACAGCAACTTTTTATGAATATTTAATGAAAGAAATTTTCAGGGAAAATCACCGAAGCAAGCGTTAACATCTTGGAAATCGGCGTAAAAATTGAATTTCTTAAAATTTCTTTGTCCTCAGCATTTTCTAGTTTTTGGTGATATAATCAAGCCTTTAAATATTAAATATTCATTTAATTTACTTTATATTTTTCTATATATCTTTTATATATTTAAGAATTTTACTCATTTATTACTTGTAATTCTCCTTCTTCTTGCTCAAATTATGGAAAATTAGTTGAACAGTATAGAATCAATATTATAATATTATCAATGTTATCAATATAAAATTAAATTTGGTAATTTATAATGTGAGTTATAAATTTTCATGTTTTAAAGGGAAATGTTGAGAATAAAATTTTCAATTATTTGTGCTTAAAACTGTGAATTTCTAATGTTGAGTAATTTTAGTGTCAGGTTATGGCTAAAATTATCATTTTAATCGGTAACTGGTTTAATGGCTATGGGTTATAGCAAATATTTGTTCCAGTTCATACATATAAAAAACTGGATTACATAAATACTCCTGATAGAGATCATCCTCGAATGTATATTAACTAAAATTTATTCTTTCACGAAATAAATGCTGGGATGAAAGTATCTTCCAGCGGAAATTCATTGTTGGATTGTTTTATTCTTCATTGATTATTCTTACCATCAAAACATTTTTCAAAATGCATCGATTACCAATTTATGAAAGTTGCATTAAAGATTACATTTGCACTTCGATAAGTGAAAGTGTTTTCCACTGGATGTACAGTTTATTAACGTTTAATTAACTTTATTAACTATTAATTTTCTTATACTCAGTGTTTAAGAATATCAGAATGGTTGTTGTTTAATGAAACATCAATTCTCTAATTAAAAAATTCTTGTGTCCTTGGGGAAACCTTTTCATCACCAAAGGAGTCCGGCAAATATTTCTGGTAAATATAGATTCCAGCGAGTGTTTTTGTTCGAATGTAAACAAAGGGAGGTTATCTTCGACATTGTTTTTCGAATAATTGCTGGGAAGTGATTCATTTCTCATTTGAAAGATTGGTTTTATCGTTGAAACATTTCGCAGAAATTAGTTTATCAGCAGTGGAGAATGGTAAATAGAGAAAACGTAAAATGTCAGAACGATCTATAAGATTTCCCATTGGTTCCACAGTATAAGTTGAGGACGAGTGGTCGGAAGTTTGCTGCTCATATTGTTTCGTGAAGTACTGGTTGGTCTCGTATTTCATGCCGGAATAAGCGAGTCATTAAAAAATTTAATACTTCCTTTGAAGTATATCTGAAGGATTTTGTAGGTTTTTTCTTTGAAATGTGATTAAGGCTTGCAATTTTAATCAACTGCCCATTTTTCAAGAAAATGGAATATTATTTTTATTATTTCAAAAATCATCGAAGCGGTCGAAATTGTGATTGAAAGGTTTATCAATCTTCTAAATATGCTCTTTTATAACAAAATATTTGTAAATTTATATTTGTAAATTTTTTCTTATTCCCAAATATAAAACCAAATTTTTCAAAGTTTTGATTTTAGAATATTGGTGATTATGTTGGAAGACAAATATCTTCTATTAGTTCATTTAGACCATCATAGTTCTATTTTTTAAAATCAGAAGCCAACAGCAACAGAAATTCTCTCTTCGAAAAGAGAGAGAACTTAGGGGAAGAGATCCATTCATCTTCACCGTCACCAATCGGATTCCACTTTTAATAAGGATTTAGAAAAACATCGCTCGACTAGTTTTAGCAGAAGTTTTAGCTGCAGAAATTTTTTCAGTGGTCGTTCGACGCGTGGATTTTGAAATAGACCAGTGTCGAAACGAGGTATGATGTTTAAAAATAATATCTAATCAATGGATGTTCCCACCAGAATAAAAATGAAACCTATGAAATGAAATGAATGAAAATAACAGCTGATAAATCTCAGATATATAAATCCATCTCCAAATAGTCCTAATTCTTCTTCTAACAGCTCTCACTATTACTGATTAAATTGATTCTGCTAGCTACAAAGATAAGACTTCTCAGAGCTGACAGATACGATCGTCGATAGCAATAGATGCCATTCCTTTTTCAGTCGTCCAAGTCCATATATTGCCGATTCACCTATACGTTCAAAATTTTTCCCGACCGTATTATTCCAGATCTTGATTGGTCCATTTCGTTCTTAACGCTATTCGTCATAGGATTTAGCAAGTAACGAAGTCAGTTAACCAGCGAAGGTGATACTCCATGGTGGTATTGTTAATATAGGTGGTATTTGAGTGAAGACGATCTTATCTACTTGGCGAACCCACAATTTATATATTGTCTTTATATTGTCTTATCTTACATGAGTGGTCAAAAGCAGATGGCTTCTTAATATCCTCCACTCAAATTGGCCATATCTCGCAGCAATGTAGCAAGACCGAGCGAATCGCAGCTATATAGACTCTCGTTTTTACAGTAATTTCGCGTCCATAAAGATTTCATCAACCAGGAGAAAACGTTTTTAGCTACCATTATCTACCATTATGTAATTTCGTCTTTCGTTTAACCACTTGGGATTAGAGTAGATCCAAGCTATTTAAAATCAGGCAATTCCTCAACCTGCGATGAATTCATAAAATTCATTTCAATTTCTTGCTTATTTTTGTTTATATTGCTTCTTCTTATTTCTTTCTCCGATTCTCGCTGCAGTTGTCGACACATTGTTTAGCACTATTTGCATTTTCTTGCAACTATATTAGGACTAATCAGATATTATGCTGGACTGATTTGCACCTCTTCAGAGATGACGAGCGGTGTTCATTATCTAGTCAATCGCATAGATATCGTAGAAGAAAACCACATGCTTGATGGGCATCAGTTTTTATTTCGAAAAGGTCTGTCAATTACCGTTCCCCCATATATACAGACCTGGCGTTGGCGTTCGCTGATAAAATGCCTTTATGAGTCGAGTGATCTCTGGAACACCATCGCGTTCCATCACTCTCCAAAGCGTTGTTCTATTAATTGAATCGAAGGCAGTCATCTGGTAATATTTCTTTTTTCCATAATAGAGAGTACATTTGTTGAAGTTATGAAGGACGATGGAGAACATTTGAAGAGTTTAGCCAGAAGACCACCTTTTTCGAGTTTTATTTGCCTTAGGTTTCTGGATGATAGATAGAGATTATCTTCTCTTCTGTTGATGTTTCGTAGTTGCAAGCATATGGCTGGAGGGGGTCAACTATATCTGGAACAAGGTGGCCTGGTTTTAGCCTCAAAGAGTTTTTTCCATCTTATAAAGCGATTCTTAATAGCCTTGACAGGCCCATCATTAATTATTATCACAGGCCATTTCATGTTCCTCGAGTTATAATTTATGCTTTATGAAGAAGGCAGAATAGTTCCCTAGTATCGCCTAACCCAGCCGCCGTTCTTTGCATTCTCAAAGTTACATCACTCCACTAACGATTTCAGTTTTGGTGTTGGTGTTCATTTCTTTAAAGTCCGATAGACAGGATCTCTTCGTACTTCGGCAGTCATTCCAGGCAGCTGGATAGTTACTTTTGATATCCGAGACCAGCACTTCTTATTAGTGTGGAAATGGTTGAACATTCTAAGAATGTTTTTTTAATTGAGATTAGTATTCATCCATTGTTCCAGAGATGCCATTAATGTTCATTTCACTGAGCTGCTTCAATAATTTTGAAATGTACTTACTGTCTTCTAATCTTTTAATTTGAGATAGTTAAAAGATCTTAGGATACCTTGTTTCCTTCGAGTTACCAGTTTTCTGCGAATCCTAGTTCGAACCGTGGCAAGGTTTAATCCAAGAAGGTTACGAGTTCCGATAGGAATGGCTATTTTGTGCGGAACTCTTCCAACGATTGGTTGAGATATAATCAATCTGGTTGGAATTATCCAGGGAGTTTCATATAATTAAATAAATAAATAAATGTCTTCTACGATGCAGGAAGCGTGAATTAATAGTGAAAAGTTCATGCTGTTAGGGAAAACGAAGAAAGTACTCTCTATTAGCGCGCCGCACCTCCATATTTAACAATTACTGAGTTTATCGTGACGACGTCATGACCTATGCACGCATTCCAGTCTCGACACTTTTCGGTAGAGATACTATTATCAGTTGAAATTCTGCATAGAAAAAAAACAGAAAAAGATAAAAATTAAAGAAGCATGAAAAATAAACTAGAAATTTTAATTTTAAAATTTTAAATTTTCTAATCGACTTTCGCACATCGCTATGCCATTTCGCCCCGAATTATTCGAAACACCACAAAATATAACCATTTATCACACGAAATTCAAAGTGGAAGACGGGCCTACCACAAGCGACATCCATCCGACATTTAGAAAGAATGTGGACAGTAATCGCTTGCCCTGTAACGTCCATATGCGTTCTGACGTTCAATGCTGCTACCTGCTACTGTTAACACCTCGCAGCGCGTGCAGAGAATCGTTTCCCTCGACAGGTTTCGAGCAGTTATCCTGGCTCGCGAAAGGAATATTCTCAAATCTTGAGGTCGTTTGACTACACTCGTATTGCTTACTTATCGCATGTACCACCGGGTTGGAGTATCACGAGATGCCCTTTTATGAAGACCTGACCCTTTAATCATAGAATCACTTGGGGATATAGTTGCAAGTGGTCTCTAGTAACCACCCAAATTTTTTTACCATTGCAGTTTTACTTCTATAAAAGATAACAAAGACAAAAAAAAGAAAAAAAAATTAAGAAAACCTAATTAATAGATATTTAAATGTAAAACCTTTGTTAATATCCCGCTCGGCTATACTATTTTGTAAAGATTTTTGAAATAAAAAATTAGTTGAAAATTAGTTGAAATATTCATGCAAATTTGGAAAATTTAGAACATAATGCGGAGCACTTCCCGTCCAAATGGATTAATACGACGTAATGCTCGAGTGCATTTTAATCTCGGTGAACCAGATTTAAGACCGTTCAGTGTCAGAGAAATAATTCCTGAAAGCCCAATACGCGATCAACTTTTGGCAGAAATCGAAGGCTAATCTCCCTTATTTCCTAAAATAGTGCCATCTGAGAAAACTTGCTTAAGATTTTGTCCTTTTCTAATCTAAATAAATATCAATCTATGCTGATAAGTGTGATTCAGGTAAACGTAGTTTCCTCTGTAGACTTTCCAGCTTTCCTCTGTAAACAATAAAGAATCAAGCGTCAATAAATTGATTTTTCCACATTTTAGCTTGAAAATGATCAATTTTAATTTCTTTCGATTGTTTGATGAATTTAATTATTTTAATTATTTTAAAAATGCAATTATAGGTCGCCTCCAAGTGACTGAACATGAACTTTTGAAAAACAGAGAATCTTCCTCACAAGAACATTTAAAAGTATGTAGCATATTTCATTAATATAGTGGATTTTATTTTATTCTTTCCATTTCATTTTTGTCTTTTTCCCGACTTCAATTACCTTATTTTCTTTTTAAATAAAATTCTAATTATTTAATTATCAGCAAGAAAATCATTTCTTTTAGATATCGGAGGACCGTTTGACATTCACTCGTATGAAACATGAGCAACGATTACTCAAACAATTATTAATGCAATTGGCAAATCCAGGCGATCAAGTTGCTCACCATTTATCCTCTTTGGCTCTTAGTTTTGAGCATGAAAAGAGATGAATAAAATAGTAACTAACAAGACCATAGTTATTTAGAAAGTTTAAGGTTTGTGCTACAGAGAGACTTGATTTAGATTGAGGATCTATGCAAGTTATGATGAGGTAATATCAGAATAATGAAAAGGCTTGTTAGCCGCTGGTTTTGAGAAAAAACCTATGGCGAATATCTCTTTAATTTCGTGTTTTCTAACTTCCAGAGTCTCTCTGCAATCTTTTGACGATCATTATGCTTGGTTGCTTATGCTTGCTTTCATTAAATCCCGATACACCTGTCTTACTACACTTCATTTTTTCTTATTTTTTCTACTCTTTCTTAACGCTCTTTGAGATTCTCTCAAAGCCCTTCGCATTCTCATAACATCCTTCCAATTCCTTGTAATCTGCTGCATTTAGTAATATATAATAATAACGTAGCCTTAAATCACTCCGCTTACTGCTTTACTACTTTAGTCTTCCAACATCGCCCAAGTCATATTGCACTTTTAATCCTTCTGTCAAAATCTCTCAAAACTTTGAAATCAAATACATTTTCTCTCTCTTCTTAATCCGTATTATTCTTATATAATTCCAATGTAATTCTTAGATCCATAAGATACTTTTTCGAAAATTTCAAAAATAGCATCCGTTCGAAGCTCCCTTATAGTCTATTAAGATATTGCCAGTTTGAGTCTTTTCTAAACTGCTTCCAAAGGCCTTCATTTAAGCCGAACTATGAATGATAGTTGTTTGGACTAGATTCAGACTTTCCTTGTGATCATTTGGTTATTTTAGTCTATTATCTGTTATTTTGTTTTTGTCCCTCGTTAAGGAACTATCTAAAGCCCTATAACTGTACTGTGTTATATTGATTTCATTTCGTGGATTTAAGATTCAATTGCGCAGCAGATGAGTGAGATGGGTTTCGTAATTTGAATATCATGTTCAAATGTGCAAAAATATAAATTCTATTCGATTATATTCGATTATAAATTCCGTTGAATGTAAAGCATGTATATGTATATTTGATCGGTGATGAGTGATGCAGGCGATTCGCTTTATTTATATCGCTAGGTGATTCTGTGAGAAAATTTGCCTGGTCCTATAAGGCAGTAAAGCGAGTCTAGCGAACGTTCTTTGAAAAAACAAAACTTCTCGCGTTTTAGGTAAACAATGAATGGCGCAGGAGTCAGCTAATTACTGGTTTGAAAAATTGGGTAGTTCGAAATAAACTTGAATTAGAAGAGGTAAAATTTGGGGAAAAATATTGAGAAAAATGCTCACATTAAAGAACCAACAAATTTTATTAAATAATAACAATATTTTTACAAACTGAATGTATATATGATTATATATTTTACTCAAAATTTACTAGAATCTAGCAAGAAACTAAGCTTATTGAGGAACTTCATCTTATTGCCCATTTCTCAGTCTTTTAATGCCAGTTTTAACATCTGCAATTATATATCTCCAGATAATTTCCATTTCTTGCAAATATGCAATTTTCATGTACCAAAGACTGAAAATGGTTTTTGTACTCGATCTAATCCAGTGATTTCTTTTCAGATTGAAGCTTTGGAATCAAGGATGTCACAGCGTTCTACGCTCATTGAAGGCGAAATTCATCAACTGTCGAATCTGAATAACACCATTAGAAATTTGTCTATTCTTTTCGATTTTGAAGAAGCTTTCAATTCAGTGGAATATTCTTGTAGCGATGAATCGATGCCTATTAGCAATACTCAAAGCGAAAAAGAATTCGATGAAAAATACGATTGAAAATTACATATATGAAAATTTCTCAATAAATAAAACGAATTTGAAAGACGAATTCAGCTTCAAAAATTTTGAAAAACTTCCGTTTTATTAATCATTGATGTTTTAGATTTAATATAAATTCAAATTTGATTCAAATTTTCAAAATTCATCGAAAACATTTCAAAAAAATATTTTTCATGTTGAATTTCGAGAATTTTAAACGTCGATTTCAGGTGCGCAAAGAAAATTGAGGAATTTTCAAATTATAAACATTTTAAAATAAATTTATTCGACAACGGCAAACATCAAATCACTAAAAATGCGACCTACCGGTTGACCAAACCTTTATGGAGTCACCGTCTGTATAGCTGCAATTCACTCGATCTTATTGTGTGGTTGCGAGATATGGCCAATGAGAGTGGAGGATATTAAGTTATATGTCTTTGACCACTCATGTCTAAGGTACATCATTTTATGCGTCCACCGAGTGGTTAAAATCTCACATGATCGCATCCACCTTTCTTCAAATACCACCACGGAGCATCATTTTCGCTGCTTATTATATGTTCTTCGTCGCTCACCACAAGAGTTGACACATATTTCGTTATTTGCTAAACCCTATGATGGATGGCGTCAGAAGCGAAGAGGACGAATCAGGACCTGGATTGATACAGTCAGGAAAGATTTTAAACATATAAGGGGACCAGCTATATATTTATTTTTAAACAATGGAAAAAGGAATGGCTTCTATTATTTTCATCACTGACTTCGGACCGAACAGCTTGGCGATTTTACCCTTAGCCAGGAAACCAGCTTAATCAATAATGATGAGAACTGTTAGAAGAAAAAGTCATTAAAAATCAGGGAAATCACGGAATAAATTAGAAAAGTAGTATCTGGAGGAAAAACCTTCCTTGGACAATTCACCGAATCAGTAAAAAGCTCCCATTAGAGTGAATAAGAATTTGACGAAGAAGAATTTAAACTTTGCAAATGACATCTCAGAAAAATTTTCGCGCAACTGTACCATTTTTTTTAATATTCATATTTAATTTTTCACGATTGTTTTTCCAATTTTAATTTTTCATTGGATTTGTGTCGTATATATGACCTTTAGATACAAAATTATGGCTTTTTTATATTCAAGTTCCTTCCAAATTTTTAAAAATAATTTTGTAAAATTGAAAATGAATTATCGAAATGAATTTTATTTTCGAGAAAATATGTCCAAAATTTTCATAAAATTTTTTTTTTGCGTCATTAATTTGTGAAAATGCAAAAATATTTTCAATTAGTATTCTGAACTGTAAAATAAAGTAAATTCTCCCATAAATTTAAATGCAAAATTATTAATATAGCAATAAATAAGTCTATATAGTTATAGTTTTTATTTGACGTTAATTAATCATAGATTTTATGGTTTGTTTTTTAATTTTGTTAAATTACATTAAATTACATCATTCGGGTGATATTGGCAGCTCATATGTACTTTTATCGCTAAAGAACCCCGTGACCTATTTGTATAGTCTGACAAGTCAGCGGAGTGAATCTAACCAGCAATGGTGACTGCTCTTAAAAAAAAAAAACTTACTCAACGGGAAATTCTCCCTACAAAAATCAGGAGAAGCTTCAATAAATTTAAAATAATGAAAAATCTTTTATCAGAAAAGACAAAATCATCACTAAATTTTTATAAGTTTTTGCCCAAATTAGTGGCATATTAAATAAAAATAGATAAATTTATGTGGCATTTAATTGTTCTTTTCCTTAAAAATACCTATTTTTTCTCATGTTTAAATGTTCTCTTAGATAACCATAGATTTAACTTTTTTTTAAGAGCGTTCATTTCCGGTTAAGGTTTCTTTCACTGGCTTATCAGGCAAAACAAATTTTGCTAGCAACTTGATTGACTTAAAAATAAAATAAAATATTATAATAATAAATAAGATTGATTAAAAATAAAAATAGATCAGCAGCATCAGTTGGTCTTTTCAAAGATTTTTTATTAATTGTTATTATGTGAAATTTTTTTGAGTAATTTAATTTTTTTTGATGTATTTTGATGTAATAGTAATATGACACGGTAGAATTATCAGTTTATCAATGAACAAAAATAAATAAAGGCATAAGTAAATAAAAAACTTGATGAAATTATGATGAAATACAAATATATAACTATTTTCCACTTTTTTATAGATTTTATTTCTTCTTTTTTTTCAACACAAAGAAGGATTTAGACGATAGAAAAAAAATGGTTTCTATTACTACTAGCGATGACGTCGGACTGAGTAAGTTGAAGGCAATTTCTTAATCTTGTAACCAGATTGTATTTAACCAGTAATGCTCAGATGTAATGTTAGAAGAAAAGATATATCTGATAAATGAAGGGATACCGAATTATACGTTGAAAAAAGAATGAAAATCGGACATGAAGGATCTTCAAAAGATCTGAAATCTCTGCAATAATTTTGTTTCATCATATAGTTATTTGGGATTTATCAACGTTTATTTAACTAAATTTAATAATTTAAATAATAATTAATGGTAGCGGGAGCAGTAATGGGAGAAATTTGAAATTTTCGTCTTTTTTATTTGCACAATAAATTTTAATAGTCGTTCACATTTTTGAGAATAGCGAATTAAGAATAGAATTAAGCCAAAATCTTTTATTATTCACGAAAAATTTTATCGAATAGCATTTTTTAATGATGAATAAAAACACTTAAGACCATGCAAGACTAAATTTTAACAGAAATCAAGATAAAAATATTAAAAAAACATTTGACATAATCATATCTGTGAGGTGCAATAACATTAATCGAAAGAAATGTTTTCGGCTGAGGGCTAGCACGCAAGGGCAATTATATTCTTGTGCCTTGCTAGCTTGGAGTAACTAGTAGCCTATCACTAGAAATGAATGGTATTAGAGAACCATATGTACCTCCATCTGATTTTCTTCTGAATGGGCATCAATAAGATATTGGTTACTTGAATTAGACAAACAAGAAATGAGAAATGAGATTAATAAAAAGAAAATTTATGAGATCCAATAAAACTTATTTTAATTGAATATTTTTTTTTAAGTTTTGGTCATTTTATTTATATGAATTAAACAAATCTTTTCGAAAGTTCTTCGACACCTTTGAGCTATTCGTTATATCGCCAAAGTATAGTGGCGATTTATGATGAAAAAATCTGGCAAAAGTTCGCCTAAAATTTGTTTTTTATATTTAGATTGCTCAAAAAGCAAATTAAAGAACTGGTAATTCAAGAATAATTTAAAAGCCTTACCCTTACCTAAATGCTGTTTGAATTTCCTTATGCTGCCAATTATAGAAAAAAAAACTTGTGCATCCATACAAATGACAACCAATTGTAACCACTGGGCCCCATTCCATAAATACAATCTGAAAATACTTTTTGGTGCGATCTCAGTGAAAAAAAATTACTGCCATAAAAGATTCGAATGGAAATAACAATCCAAACATTTTCATCCATTCAAAAATTAAAATCTTATAAATTAATCTTAAATTTAAAAAGGATAATATTAAACTGGGCAGTAAAGTGGTATGTCGCTTCGACTAAATTCCGACTATCATGGTTTCAATTGCTCTTCCTCGCCGAGAACTAACCTGTCATTGAAATCAATGTGATGCTCTAAATTAATCTATGCTTCTAGTCTCAATGACAAAAAGATTCCTCATGACAACAAATGGAGCTAATTAGACCAAAAATACTAGAAGATAAGTTCATATATAAATAATGATAAAAAATTCAGAAAAAACGAAATGATCCCTTTTACCTGCCCAAGTACAAGGTCATAGCAATAAAGGGCTGAAGGTACAGCTGAAAATGAAATAACTGAAAGAATTATAAGTACTGCCAAAGAATTTGCCTGAAATTATATTATTATCCTTAATTACCATAGTTTAGAAATTTAGAAACCAGTTCTTAATAATTTTGGATGTTGAGAAGATCAGAAAAGATTAATGATCCAATGTGAACAACTAACTTGCTTATAGTTTTTGTAATTTTTAACTGAACGCATATTACGGACATAATTGAAATGTGTGATTTTTAGAAAACATAACTTTATAATCAGTAATGAATAAAGAACAAGAAGAATAAAGCTGAATATTAAACTCGACAAAAGATAATAGGTGTGAAACATTCGACCGGATGATGAGGTAGTTACACAGTGTACTCGTATCTGAAACGACAATAAATTTGTCTTTTCGTTATCCTAAAAAAATTTAAAATTAAAAAATAGTTAATAGTTAAATAGTTAATAGTTAAAATAGTTAAAAATTAAGAATTTCGAAATGTCCAAGTCTCCAAGTAAGAAATGCTGATATTTTAAGAAATACTGGTCTCGACCATTATGTTTAGAGAAATGTTCATTTCCTATCTCCAATAGGCATAAGCTTGATTAACAAAAAAATCTGGATCGTGTTGGCCACGCTTTTATCCTTTTATCGCCAAATGATTTTTTGAAAAAAATTACTCCCTATATCAACAAGCAGTGGAGGAAACCTAAACAGAAATGGTGGATACTGACCGCTTTTTATTTTGCTTATTTCTTTTTTTTTCGGAAGATTAGATTTGCTATCTTTTCCAAAGTTTTGATGAAACTTATTGAATCGTCGATAATCGAAATGAATAAATTTTAAAAATAAGTAACAATATCCGATCGAATTTAGCATTAAATTCAATTGTTGCCAAATTGAGAAGCTTCTTTAGTTTGCTGAACCACTAGTGATTGCAAGAACAAATGATGCTATCTCTATATCACCTCAAAAATTATAGAATCGCCTGGAGAACTATTCATTCTCTTTGATCTAAGGTCTTAATTTTGAAATTTCGTACTTTATTCAGATCATCTTCGGAAATCATTGCCAAAGCATCAAGAATGCTCCAAATTAATCCAATTTTAAAAACATATTGCATGATGTGAGAGTGATTGGCTGTATAATAACGTTGTGGCCAATATAGTGCGACAAGTCTTTCTACCGCTACAGCTATGCTTAAATATTTTCGCATGCGATCGAGCCCAATTTCAAATCCTATAATCAACAATAATATTTAGCATATACTATCACCATTGCTTTTGCATTTCCCTCTTAGAGGTTGATTTATATAAAACTTTATATTCGAGGATTTTTTGTTTTGTTCATGGATTCTTCTTCAAAATCGAAAAGATTTTAAAATAAAAATGTAGGAATACATAAATTTTTACTGACATTTGTATGGCAAAAGCATTAAAATGCTCAAATTTCATTATTTTGTTAAATTTTTGAATTTTTTTCAAACAATTCATTTAAAAAATACAATAATTTTGCTCTTTTATCTTGCAATTTATTTCTGTGATAAAATCAATTGTAAATTTCTTTTACAGTTGCTTTTTGAATAAATTGATTAAATCTATTAACTAACCTGACCCGATGATAATTGTCCAACGTGGGCAGTTCAAATTATTATGAGCAAACAAATTGGCCATAGTTGGTATTGTGAAAAAACCTTAAATTTTATGCCTAATAATTAAATACTAAAAGTAAAGCTAAACACTTATAGAAAATGGAAAAATAAGGTGAGGACGTCATGTCAAATATTCCAGAAAGATATTTTAAAAATTTACCAGTATATATACATATATATAATTAATATATTTACTCCTGTTTTGTCTACTCATGTTTTTATTTCCAAGTGATAAAAGAATCTTTTTAGCTTAATAACCAGCAGAATGAGCCGGCAAATATATATATATATATCTAGCTCTTAGTAGGATGAGAAATTTTTTCAAGGAAACTACTTGAGGAATTAAATGAATCAAAACGAAATAAATTAAATGGATACCGGAAAATGAGTTGGTCAATGCAAAAACGAAAAATATATACAGATGACACTTGGTAAATAACCTCTTGTTATAATAAAAAGCTATACATATAGTGCCATTAAGCATGCAATTTATAATTCCTAATATTAAAGCTATGATATGAAGAGGCCGAACACCTCCATGGCCATGCAAAAGAGTTGTCTTATTCCATGCTTCATCAAGTACCATCTGAAATATATGTGAAATATGTAATCGAGCAGTAATTTAGGATCACACAGTTCTATTACTAAATCTATCGGTCTTTACTTCCAGAAAACTATTTGAATTAACAGAATAGTTATATTATATTGATTATGCGAGATTACAATAAAATAAAATATAGTTAAACAAGTATGGAAAGACAAATAAAGCAATAAATAAATAAATTATAATAATAATAAAACGAATAAAAAGTGGCAAAAATATAATAACATATAGAAAGGTGGAGCGAACATAGATGGCGACGACTTCACAAAGATTTGGAAAGGTTAAGTTTTTCGCAATTCCAGCTATCCAGGTAGCAATCATCCTTTGTCTGGCCATTTGGAATTAGAATGGATCAAGTTATTTAAAATCAGGCATTTCCTCAACCGGCAACGAATTTATGAAAATATTTTATCAGCTTCTGTAAATAAAACGAAAAGACTTTCGTTTTATTTACATTATTCCTGAATCCCATTCTCGCTTCAGTTGTCGACACTATGTTTGGCATTATTTGCATTCCGTCGTAACTTCAGCAAAAAGTCATCAGCGCATTCAACGTTTGTAATACTTCGCTCTGGACTGATTCGCATACTTCTTCAGAGCTGACAAACGATGCCTATTATCCAGTCAATCGCATAGTTGAATATCGTTGAGGAAAGCACGCATCCTTGACGACAATCAATTTTTTTGTCGAAAGAATCAGTCAATTACCCATATACGCAGACCTGCGCCGACTTACGCTCATAAAATATCTTTATGTGCCAAATGATCTTCATTGGAACATTGTCGCATTCTGTCATCTTCCAAAGCGCCGCTCTATCAACTGAATTGAAAATAGCTGCAAAATCGATAATACAATTGACGGTGGGTCGAAGCGATGTTTCGACATCTTTCTTAACGTGAATATTTGGCCAGGTCATGTCTCGCTCTGAATCCAGCTTGGTTAGGGTGTATCCTGTTGTCTCGTATCACTATTAGTTTATTCAACAGGAGGGAAGCAAAAATTTTCTCTGAGATGCCTAGTAGGCTGATTCCTCGTCATTTTCTTGGGAGTTAAGAGTAGAATTGCTTTGCTCCAGCCATCTTTTTTTTATTATTTCTTTTTTCCATACCAGGTGGTATATTTGTTGAAGATGTGTTAAGAAAGACGATGGACAATATTTAAGAAGTTCGAACGAGTGAATAAGCTAAGTCCGGGATAACAAATGGCTTATTGTGGCTAAATTTGGTTTCAAAAAATTTATTTCACCTTATGATCCGATTCTTAGTATGCACCCTGTATCCTTTCAGTGATCATTCTCCAAATTATTGTTACTTTATGAAGGAGGAATAGTTTCCTATTATCGCTGCTGTTTCCATTATCAAGGCCATATCGCTCCATTAGCGATTTTTGTTTACACCATTGTTTACACCACTGCTGTCATTGTAATTCTTGAAGCACTCGATAGCCAGGGTCTCCTGACATGTTTTGGAACTAATGTTCGTCCCGTTCCAGAAAAACCGCCGATATTTATATCATTGAGGAAAAATTCGGTAATACGGAAATATGTTTCTCCGGATCTTTTAATCTGAGATAGTTGAATGATCTTAGAATACGTTATTCCTTGCGAGCTTTCAATTTTCTGCGAATCTTGGCTCAAGCCATAACATGATCTGACCCATAAAGTTTACCAGTTTCAGCCGATAGAAAAGACTATCTTGTACGGAACTCTCCTAGTGCGAATGATATAATTAATCTGGTTGGAGTATTGGTTATATGGAGAATTCCATTGCTCGAAGCATGTATTAGTGGCAAAAAGTTCATACTCATCGGCATAATGAAAGCGTTTTCAGTTGGCTCACCTGTCTCCATATTTGCCAATTACTGAATTTTTGTGGCAGCATCATGACCTACGTGTATTCCAGTCTCCTTCGGTTATGGTCATGTTATCGCTTGAAGTTAGAAATAAAATACTCTTACATATACTCTGACGACCTTCACTGGTTCCACTGAATTAAATCTCTTCTTCAAAAAATCACTTGACAATGGAAGTACAAGTGGTGTCGCAACAATAGTGTTCATTCAACCTAACGCTTAGTCAAATTACAATTTTTAATTATTTATAATAGTTATAACTTTTCACTTAAATAGATTCAACGCAATTTAAAAAAGGTCACTAATAAATTTTCATTATGGTGAATTAAATCCGAATCAGTTCATTCTTTCATTAAATATCTGACCATATGGCTATTTTAACAATTAGAATTCGGAATATGACAACTGAAAATAATTTAAAACTGTTTTGTTCAAAAAGTTTTTTACTTTCTAAGTAAATCTTCATGTAATGAAAAAAAGTATTAATTGTTTGTGGAAAATATTCGTTAATTTTTATAAACAATGGATAACAAAACTCCCTATGGATAACAATGGATAAAATAGAATAAAATATGGGTGCAAAAAATTTATAACTTTTCAGACTTATAATTATCGCTTATAACAAATTTAAGGACAATATTTTATTGCAATTATTTTATTGTTGAAAAAAAAATGCAGCAAAATGTTTCGAACTCGTTGTTATCGAATTGAATCAATCTTTCTTTGATATTTAGTTGGGACATCATGTTGAAACGTCAAACTATCATAGATGCATGAAAATTGAAATCCAGTCGATGCCGGAGACCAATGTATACTTCTAACATCAAATGACTCTCTGGGTATAATTCTAATAGCCAGTGGAGTTAATTAAACTAAAAATAGTGAATGCCTTACAAGAATAAAAAAGTAAAAATATGAATATATCTGTAATTCTACATTTCTGTAGTTAAACTATATCAGTAAATAAATTTTACAATTATTATTTACAAGATTAATAAGATTATTTTGGCGATTCAAGAAATTTCATTACAATAATTTTAAAAAAATAAAAACTCGCATGATCATCGATATACAATTATGTTTAAAGCATATATAAGATTTCTTAAGAAAAACAAACTATAAATATGAATAAATCTGACTATAGAATCGTATAAAGAATAAAGCCACTACAACTATGTCATGGAATTTCTTTTTTTCGAATCCAAATCAGTCGAATGGACTTATTATTATATCATCTTAAGAGATTTTGTTTATTCCATAAGACTATTATTTTATTAAAAATCACTATTTTTATTCAAAATAAGCACCATTACAATCAATATACTTTTAAAGTGATACAAATACATTTATTCCATTGGAAAAAGGCCGAGTTTCTGGAATCAATGAACTGCTGAAAGGCGATTTCAAGATCCTCCTAAACTTTTCTCTCTGAGAGGTTCGTCGAGAAAACGGAAAAAATAATGGTAAGATCTGCGGAATATGGTGGATTGGTGCCAAATGTTTCTTATAATAGCGACCTTTCTTGCGCCACAAGTTTTAGTTGCTATATAGTATTTGCACACTTCAAACTATTTTGCAAACTTTGCAAACTTCACAAGTATCGTCGAAAATTTATAATTAAATTTTATAATTTAAATTTATAATTTAAATTTTAACAATAAATGCAAAAAAAATTTTAAATCGCCAGCAGTGTTTGAAAGGTTTGTTTCTGGAAGTAGGCGACAATCTTTGTTATTATTTAAACGAGTCAGTTATCTTGACCTACAAAAATTCTTTTTCAAAATAAAATTGAGTTATTTCTTAATTAAAACAATATTCACAAAAATATTTTTATCATCAATATATTGGATTTAAATTTTCCGGCTTAATTACTTTCCAGCGATTGGTTATATTTTTTAATGTTCATTTTCATGTAAAAAAATCTTTTTTGATATATCTAAGATAAAAACTAGTATTTTGCCACTTGGTTAACATCACTCATATTCAGAAAGACAATTAATGATTTTCAGTTTCATTATAAGTAGTAATATTATTAATGATGCAAACATAATAATTGATGGCTTTGTTTGCGATCATAATTATGCTGAACAGAAAATTCCGATTTTTTATTTGAACATTAATTAAGAACTAATTTGCACAATTTTTATTAATCAGAATATGGCTAAGTAAAATAATAATAATAATTGATGCGTAACGCTGAGTTAATTAAAAATTTGAGGAGTAAACAGAAATAAAACAAGATTTGCAAAAACCTTAGAATTAGGGAAATATGGAATTTTTTAACCCAAACTTGAAGAGAGGATTAGCGAAACTGTTGCTGAAAATAAAAACAGCTTTGATCCACAGCGAAAAAAATTGTGAAGGAAAATGAAACCAAACAAATATCGTGGCGAACTCACCCTTAAAATAGCAATAATTGATATAAGCCTCAAAAACACGCTTAAAGGATTTTATTTAAAAAAATTAATAAAATAAGGATTTTGTTTTATTTAAAAAAATTAATCTATTTACAAGATAAAGTGAAGTACAAGCACGACTACATAATCTTTTTTAGGTAAATTTATAGATAAATTTCTGTAAGCTTAGATGAGAATATTTAAATAAGTATAAGCCAAAAGAGGATCCATGCCACGAAAAAGAGATTTGCTGCTCTAACCAAAGATTTATGCTGAGTGAAAGTTCACCTAAAAAAACTGAAGCTCGATTGGATTAGATTTTTTTTATATTCATATTGACGAATTAAGCAACAAATCATTTATAGGGAATGAATGGCTCTTTTAATAATTAATAACTTAATATAACGCCACCGCAAGATGTTCACTTCTATGGAATGCATGATCCCAGTTACTATTCACTCTACTATCCTCCTCCTCACAATAACGAGGAGTATAGAGTATAAGAGAGTTTTTCTTTTACAAATTTTCGTTAAATCTGTCGAAATCCGCAAATATAATAACCAAACCTTCTTTACAGAAAAAAATTTTGACAATCATTTTAGTAGTAAAAAATATGATTTTCATCGTGATATTTATCAAAAAATTTGAGAAATAACAAGAACCATGCAAATTTTTTGATATTTTTTTTAAATAATTATAATAAATTAAGATATCAAAAAATATTACGAAAAGAT